GTAGCAAACTATCAAGATATTTGTAATATCAAAGGTAATGTTTCTCAAAGCCGGTCATAAATTCTAGTATAATGAAACATAGTTTTCGTTACATTTAAAATATTCATGATTACTCTCAGCGTGAGGCTACACTCGACTATACTTAACACTCGACTATAAGTGCATATTCATACTATTTATAGTTCCATGTAAGAATAAATTGACTTTCAATTATTATCTGTCCAATAGAAACAGGGAATTTTTCGAATTATTAATAAAAGCAGACGAGACGTGATAGTGATGATGATGATGATGGGACTGATTATCTATTTCTGTTACCACTTATTCTATCCATACTCACATTAAAACTGAAGATTAAGAAAAATGAATAAATATTTCGCTTAGTTGCTTTAGTCCTTATTGCATTGCATGGATACCATAGTTTCAATTTAGTTAACGTATGGTTGTGTGGAGTTCCTCCTAATTTTCATTCAACTTAATTCGGTATTCTGAGGTCTAATAATTCTATTCTAAGATCTATTTTACGGGTCATCAAGATAACCAATAATGTGCTCAAGTTTTGTAATTAGTATGAAAGCATGTTGGTACATGTAATTTTCGAAGTTGTCGTCTATGTGCAATAGAAAGTTCATTTTGTTATGGAGGCACCTAATAGGCGGCCGCCGTTACCTCCTATGAGGGGACAGACAATTTATATCCATGCCTTCCCCGGGATTCGACCCCGTGCCCTTCAGTATCTCAGTCGGCTCCTCTAACCATCTGGGCGTCTATACCGTCTAGGCGGTATACAATTAAGTAATAACTAAAGAAAAGTTTGACACAAGTTCCCCCCCCCCATTTTAATGTTAAAAACCTGTTTGTAACGCTTAACATTGCTCTGCACACGAAATGGAATAAAACATGAATCATATTTCTTGTTTTCTTTCAAGTTAATAAAATGTGAATTATCAACTTACTCCTTATATCTTACTAACTATGAGTATGTAAGTCTTAAAAAGAATTTTTTCTATTCCTTTTAGTAGATCTTAATCCTAAAATATCCAAATATGTGCTGTAATATTTAATTTTTTGTGAAAGCCTTCTAAGGTGCAATATCACTTCATATTCAAAACGAAAACAATTATTCACATTGACTTATTATTGTATCTGAGTTAAATCACTATTAAACTTTTGATAATTTTGAATGTCATTTTATGAAATTTTGTAATTTTCAAACTATTGCAGTCTTTAGATTATAATACGCATATAAGATCTCTAATTCTAAGAAAAGGGATTTGTTAACTTTCTAAAGTAAATTTGAAAACACATTTAAAAAAAATATATCTATGCATTAATATATAATAAAAAGATACAAATGAAATTTAATAATTGAAGTAATTAAAAATTTCCAATTTTAAGTTTAATTTTCATTTTAGAATCTGACAAAAATATTTGCACAGCAATTGAAGGCCTTTACATTTTTTAGAAATCTGTTTCAGTTAAATACGAGTAGAAGGGAGAGGATTATTTGAAAAGTTTGCACAGGAAAATACTAAATACGGAAGGCGAAATTTTCTCCAAAACATTAAGCATGCGGCTTTCATAACTTCCACGAAGAGTTAATTATCCAGGCCTGCTGAAACTGTAACATTCCTCTTTTACTTTTAATGCACAAATTCCTTAGATTCAATAAAATTAATCTTTACAAAAGTGTTCAATTAAAATTTTTAGCAGTTTTTCAGGTTAGAATTCGATACATTTAAATTAGAGTGGAGGAAAAATAGTCCCGAAAATTCCAATTGCCGATTCTCGAATTTTTTTCATAATTCGAAAGACTCGAGGATTTGTTCTATTATTTCTTCCTTATTATTTATAAATAACTCTCATAATTAATTTGATTAAAATAATTAATGCATTAATTTCAATAAATCGATTAAATCCATAAGAGAAATTAATCCATATTTATGTATGGAAAAGTGCATAGATACCTTTTCCTTATATAGATAATATATTCTTGTAATACAAATCGCTGCATAAAAACTTTTTTTAATAGTTTTATTTGGGTTGAGAGTTCCGTTCACAAAAAGTACTACATAAGCAGCTCTTTATAATGATAGTTAATAGTAAAGAGAAATAGGGTAGAAAATATACACAATATTTTATATAATATATGTACAAAAATATATGTAATTGTGTACTTAACATAATGAAGCTGGCAATTATCCATATTTAACCCAAGATTAAAATTATTCAAGTCAACAAATAAAGCGGGGTTGATGCTCTAGTCTAAACTAGCACTATTCGTTGCATTACCACACCTTCCTAAAATTACTGGACAGAGTCACATGTATTAAATGAGTTATTATGATAAGTTACAATATATATTAGAATGTCTATTGTGAAATACCTTCTGAACGTAACTCACATATATTTAGGTTTTACATTAGAAATACTCTCAACCAGCCGTTAATATACATAAAAATACACAATATACATAAGAAATACATAAGAAATCCCTCTCAACCAGCCGTTTTACGTAAAGCAAACACATGTTGTAGCTTGAATTAAAAGAAGCATTATCATACAATATAGTCCAATACACAGAAGTAAATTTAAAGCTAATGTTTTATCTGCTATTTTCAGGCAGTATCTATTCGGAAGCTAGTACCCAGTGCTTTCATTTTCTAGTTTCAAAGTGAATATAATTTGGGGTCAAAGTTCATCGATTTCGTTTGATTAATTTCAGAGTTTCAAAGGGTATCGAATCCGACGCTAGTGACCATTGTTTCATCTGATAGTTCCAGATAATCGAATTTGAGATTAATATAAGTGGTTTCAGCAGCAACCAGATAGAGCATCAGATACAGACTAACGCTGTGCCTTTGAGAAATTATCGAGGCTGGCAATGAGCTCACTGTTATATTTTAAATACAGTAAACTAAAGAGCAACTGAAATGATTATGTTGTAACTTACATTACTTGTCTGAATTAATATGAGATCAAGCATACGAATTTAACGTGGCAGGCAAGATTGCATCTGGTTTGGGTTTAGGCATTCGGTATTTGATAGGTGACAGCATAAATTTGTCCACTTACATCCTATTTTTAAAGCAGAATACCCGAGGGACGAATTCGAAGATATCTTACCCAGGCCCGGGATAACCGACAGTCAAATGAGGGACTTGCTTCAGGTGAACGAACGGCTAAGAGAAGCGCCAAATTAGCTATGAAATTTGAGAAATGTGTTTTAAAATATATAAGGATTCTTAATTTTCAGTTCTGACAGGTATCAAGAAGCACCGTTTAGAAGTAGACCATATAAAGCAATAAAAAGCGTGTTGTGTTCTTAAGTACTTTTGCACACTCATGTGTTTTTCGTTAGAGTCAACTAACCGAACAAAATCAGAAACTTAATTAAGTGTTAACGATTAAATATTTAAAAGTAAAACAGAAACGTCATTGTCATCCATTTTATATAATTTTCAGCTCTTTATTATTACTTTATATTTAAACAAATTTTTATAAAGCATAAAGTAATAGGTTGAAAATAATTAGCTATTTAAGTAAATTAATTTTTAACTTCGGGTACGCTTTTGAGAATTTACTACTCCAAGAAAAAGACAAATAAAAATTGCGTCGCAATAAAATATTTTAAACATGCAAGATTTCACGCCAAATATCAAATCTTTATGAATGGATTGGCTGCATGAGTGGTCCCCCCCCATTGTGTAACATGCATATGTGTCACTTTCCGCTAGAAAAACTTCCACAAAGGCATCCTTAGACAAGTAGCTCTCATATGCTTTGCATATTGAGTAAACAAACAGCCATTATAGAAAGAATATCATTTTCTTTACAAAAAATTAGAGAAAATATTCTTGAGAAATGTAAAAATTTAGCTTTCAAATAAAGTTTTAAGTTAAATATATCAACATAATATGGAGAACAGCGTAAACGAATGGTTAATAAATCAGATTGTCAAGAATCACCACTAAAAGAACTAAATTTATCGGATAACATTGTAGGAATGAAAGAAGTGAGAGATATTTTAATTTCATAGCTAAATCAGATATATCAAAAAGTAAACAAGGAAACTTAAGATTTCCAGTTTTTAAATGCTGAAAAATTCATATAATTGAATTTAAGTAATTCGAAAATTAGCAGCTAGGCATTTAATTATCCAGATGTTATAAATGTTTCAGAATAAGAAATATCTAGTTTTAAAAACCATGCTATTTCAACAAATACGGTAGCTAAAGCAAAATGAGGTTTTTTTTAGAGATGATTCAAGAATTTAGTTAAATTTAATCATATCTGAATTCCGAAATTGCATCAAGATGATTTTTTAATGTTGCAAATTACTGTTGTTAGGTGGAAGAAGCTTCAGAAAATTTAAAGTAAAATTTTTTTTTAATGTGCAAAATCTTCTCTGGCCCCAAAAAACTTTTAAGTGTCACTGTATAGAACATAAATTGTATAATGAAGTATGTTTTGAAAAAAAATATTGTCGATTTTATTTTATTAAAAACAAGAAAAATTAAATTACAGAGAGAACTTGATTATTAATATAATATTTTTTAATATTAATTGTAGTACTATTTATATCATTTCGGTGTTTTAATGTACTGAATGCATAAACTCATGAATAAAAAATATTATAAGAGTTATAATATGATTTTGTGTAGTCACATTTGTTGAATATAGAAGTATACAGATACAGTTAATTTGACTATATATTATATTCTTTGTCTCAGGTGAAATAATATCCAAGCATGATTCTACTGTCACCACTTTTTAATTTGGAGGCTTTGCACCAGCCTCCCGAAAGGACTTTCGTCTACTTAGTATTCTAAGTGCCCCCATACCGCAAAGACATTGTCTGCTTACAAATATCTATGCCTTTTCTGGGGACTGAACACAGTTCCAAAGCTAAAAACCCAGATGTCATACTACCATGCTACGACAGCGGCTAAATGATATGTTAGCTCATATTACAAAATATTCCCTCTTTTCATTCGCAGGTCGCGTGACATTCGTAAAGAGCACTGGTTTAAGTTACGGGGGTTACTCCTACTTTACCATTCGGAACGTGTCGTTACATGAATGTCAAAGATGGTGCCGAGATGATACAGAATGTGAGGCAGCTGCTTTTGATTATGCTGCGAGGCCTCAGGATGGACTTCCGGAGACCACGTGTACTCTGCAGAATGACACCATGGCAGGCAAGACGAACATTGCCCCGAAGAGAGGAAGACACACCTATTACTTAACGAAGATGCATATCAATTCCGGTAAGTTTTAGATCTTGTTTTATTTCAGAATAAAGATTGTTTTGAGATGAGAGATTCATTTGCATTATTTACAGGTTATTTCGAGATACACAGATATAGAAAAGCGCGCGCACACACATTCAATATAAAAATTCAGTTTTTGAAAACTAGTATAATTTATTATATTTTATTCATAGAAATAAAATAATACTTTTTAATTTTCTATAAAAGCTGTTTTTGTTATGTGGTTTCTTAATTAATTCAAAATATTGCAGATATGTAGAAGGAGGATATTAAATCGCCAGAGGTTGAGAACCACTAGTATGGAGTCTAGTTTAATTAAGCATAGAGGTATGCAACTAAATAAGCATATTAAACAGAGAGAGTAAATACTTAGGTATTCACTCGCTCTGTTTCGTAATGCAATGAATAACATGGTTGCTTTGAATGGTATATAATTACCACATACTTAACGTTACTTCTGCAGCAATAAACTTCTTACCAATGAAGTTTTTCATTTATTTATTTATTTATTTTGCGCGTGTTCTAACAATAATATGATACTCATACTACAATTTCAAAAGGCCTCTTGCATAATGACCTCTACCTCTTGCATGATCTGATCTATTCATTAAAAAGGTGCCTATTCATTTTTGTTCCAGGTAATTAAATGCAGAGCATTTGCATATCAGCTTAAATGCAAATTATTCCCTTTACTCACCTGTTTCAAAGCGTCTGGCTGCTTTACTTTGTTTTGAAATAATTTTTAAACAATTATTTTTGTTCAATTTTTTATAGATCATCTCTGCGATCGATTGTGGTCCTTCGAGTGGATTCCAAACAAGATTCTGCGTGGTTTAGACAATGCCATAATTTTCACCTCAAATCGTGAATCTTGTCTGTCTGCCTGCTTGTCGGAAGTACGTTTTGTCTGTCGATCCGTGGAATTCAACATGGTTACTCATGAATGTCATTTGAGTGAATTCGATCGCCGCTCGCCTGGGGCAAATGTCCATCTCGTAGATTCCCAAGGTGTAGATTACCTGGAAAATTTTTGTCTTCAGTGTAAGCTTCTTTTTCTATATTCATATGTATACAGATACAGAAATTATATAATTATCATTAGCAAATTATCGAATTATGCTATGCCTTACTAAATAATAATTCACGTTTCAGCGTCTATGGTATGCCCTGGTCCTAAGCATTACAATTACCTCCAAGTTGGTTTATCTCAAGCAGCAATCACCAGCTATGTCCAATTCAATTATTACCCAGATAAACAGATTGTGGTAAGTATCTATGATGGTTGCTCTGAAAATGTATTTTTATCAACTATCTGCAGTGGTTACATTGCATTTTCTCACAGTATTTTTAAGCTAATTTTGAAATCGGAATTCTTATTCGATACACCGCCTTTAAAAATTATATTCTGAAACTGTAAATTACAGAACAAGAAAAATATTTTACAGAGTTAATTTCACTTAAGTCTAATTTAATCTTTAATTCCGAAAAAAAGGGAAATGTACTAAATTTACTAAACATCAAAATAATAATTTACTAAAATATTAATAAATAATTTAATAAAATTTCCTTACGAAGTTTTTTCTTAATTATGTCATGATTCTTTTTTACTAAGAGAAAAAGACTGTTTAGAGTTTTAATACACAAAATTCAAAATATATAAAAAATCAAAATATAAATATATCCACTAATATTAATTACCGTATTTTACATTAAATAAATCTGTTATTGCTATTATTTTCAATTCTAATTGTTTATTTTCATATCGTATGTTCAGCATAAAAATGTTAAGCGATTTAATAATGTTAAGAATTTTGCTTCACGGAATGAGATTCAAGTACTGAACATTTAATAATTATGTAATTAGTACACTTTATAGTATCGCTTCATAATACATTACTTGCATTGTTGTTCTAGTTCCTTGTAATCAACGTAAAAATACGAGCATTATTATGTAGAAAGTACCATACACAACGATACTAGACTTGTTACATAACCTCTCGATTAATGGAACCGTAATTTTACTTCATCTTCTGTTGAATATAAGTGAGGAAAGCATTGTAATGCATAATAGTGGTTCCGTATTGACCAATTAATGCTATAGTGAAGATTACTGGATTCAAATAAAATAAAATATGTTGTTAAAGTTTCCGGCATTTTGAGCTCCGTTGTGAAGGTTTGTGTTTTAGTATAAGCTAAGCAAACTTCAAAGATGTTTATACGTAATTATAAAGATAGTGCTTGTTATAAGGATGGTTAAAAGTTTATTTCCAAATGTCAGAGAAAGTCGAAAATTTCTAAATGATATGTTAGAAACGTTAGGAGGTAGGGAGGGGAAGAATTATCGAGTGAAAATGGAATAATTATTTCTTCAAATTAACAATTCATGTAATAATCATTATTGATTTACACTATATTGCGAAAGAACAATTTGTGTGAAGCAGTTAAAGTTTTAAAGACTTTTTTTCCTTTTATTTTTAGTAATTCATAAAAAAAATTTATAAATATATTCTCATTTCTTACTGTTTTAGGTTAATAGTAGACAAGACTGTCTGCAGCAGTGTTCCACGGAAGAGGTTTTCATTTGTCGGTCAGTCCTGTTCAAGCCAGATTCTCGACCAGGTAAAGCACTGTGCGTCTTATATCATTTGGATCATACAGCATTCCCGGGTGGTCCAGATGATCTTTCCACGGCAAGTCCTCAAATGGTCATCGGCGGTGAAAGGTCTCGTTTTTATTTGGAAACCGTTTGTGGTGCAGGTAAGTTTCCTGGAAACAAATTATATTAATGCTCAAAGTGTAAGATTTATTTTGAACATATCAGACAGCGCAGTAGACCTTTTCAAACTATCATGGCTTTAAGCAATCAACTATCATGCAATAAGCCCAAACTAACTTGCAAATGAAGTTAGGAACTAACTTGAAAATTGGGCTAACTAACTTGCAAATGAAGTTAGTTCCGACTGATAATTGACAAAATTTTGCTGTAATATGAGATGAAATTATTGGAACTTGGAAACTAAGTTGGAAAACTGGGAACTGAGGAAACTGAGTAGCGCAGTTACTTTTGTGCGATTAATAATGTTCTATTTCAAATTCGTCATAACAAATAGATGCACTTATTGAGTTTTTATCCATGAGCTGAGAAAAATAAATGCACGATTTCTTTTAAACAAGTACTATGACCAAAACAAATAGAAATGCTCAAGTCCTGCTTCATTTTTCATTTCATTCACTTTCAATTAGTGAAAATGTACTCCTGTTGACGATTAAAAGTCCAGTTTGTTGTTTAATAACAGAGCTATTTAATTACTACTGGGTACTTTTTCGAAATACTTATATAACGGTGAATGCACTAAAAAAGACACGTTTAAAGATAGTTGCCATTTCTGTCATAAAAGCAGAAAAATGGCTGGCTCTGGAATATATAAGAAAGGTATTATAACAGCATAAGATTTTGGAATTGAAAGGCATCGCAAAGTTTAACTTTTAATTTCTGCGACATTTATATATAAACAGGACTAAGGTGGGGATTAAGAATAAATGGAAATAATAGTGTTCACTATTTCACACGTAAAAAAAAAAAAAAAAAAAAAAAAAAAAAAGAATAAGTAAATAAAAAAAAATCTATTGTTACTTTTTTTGTATTAATTTAGCTATGTTTAGTAGAATTAATTAAAATGGTTTTATAGTCCCGTGCAATGCAGCATGAAACTTATTTGAAGAGAAAGCTATGCCGGAAAAATTAAAATACAGGAGCACGCGCATTTAACATTTTTATTAAATAGGTATCTCGTAATTGTACTCTTGCTATCCAGAAAAATCGAGAAAATACCAGAATAATCTCGTGCAGAATTAAAAGGCTTATAAAAGCTGGAGGTAAACATCTCAATTCAGTTGCTTTATGAGTTGCTTACAAAGTTGTTTACTTATTGCTGTTAATGATTGTACCGAATTCGCTGAGAAATCGGATTAGCTTTTTCTGTTTTGAATTAAGTTAAGTTTGAATTAAGTTCTGCAGTAGTTTAAAATATAACTACTGTGAGATATTGCGATATTGTAAAATATCTCTGAGGAAATTTCAGCATTTTGTTTTTATTTGTTGTGATAAGAATAAATTTTATTCACTTTTCATCGGACTAACAGTCTATTAAGTTTATATTATTAGTGGTAAGGTATATGAAGACCGTAACCATATTCTGATATCTAAGAAAGCAGGGTACGTTATGTAAACGCGCATTGCGACTTTTCATAAACACAAAATATTTAATTCTTGAATATTTTGAAATTTTATTTTTACATATCTGTTGCAATATACATCCGTTTATTTTGCACATATTTAAACAATTTGTAAGAAAATCTAATCCTAAAGAAGTTTTGATTTTGTATTATTAATATGGCATTTGTTATGTTTGAAGATAGAATAAAATGAAAAATCTTCGCAATTATATATATTTTTTTATTTCTCTCATATAAACTCAATGCACTTTACTTAATACTAGTTTATTTCATGCAATCATTAAATATTCGTATTAATTATTTTTCTCAATGCCCATACAACTGTTGTCAGGGATACAAAATTCATGGCTATCATGTGTTAATGAAGATAAATTTATATTTACATAAGCCATATTTTCAAGTTTAATTTTAATATTTTAACATTAATTCTTAATTAACTATTTCTTTGTTACATGCTTTTTAATGACTTCCTTTAAGAACGTACTTAAAAATTTATAAAAGAAATATTTTGACATTTCAGTTGTATAGAATTTAATTTGGCAAGTCTTTAAAAGGCCTGCTTTTTGTTTATTGTATCATACCTAATTAAAAGAATACTTTTTAACTCTCTATCTTAATTGCTAGCCACTATTGAAATTCTTCTTTTGTGTATGTTTTATATAGCTCCATCTGAAGGTGCATTTGGTCAAGTTCCAGAGCAAAGACCCGAACAACGACCAGACATGATGCATGATAATACTACACCAAAGACTGCAGCTATGATGGCAGATGAAAATGATCCTTCTTGCGATGCTTATGGTGTTTGCTATGATGGTAAGCATACACGATACTTAATAGAGAGCATACATAATTAATATATATGTAATAAATTAGAGTTGAGAAATTCTAAATTAAGAAGATATATATTATTAAAGTCGCACAATATGCTGAGAAATTAATTAATTAATCAAGAGATAAATTAATTTCATTTCATTTGATTTAATTTTTATCTCTTGATTATATATATATATAAGAAAAATAATAAATTATCTCCAAGAAAGAAAAAGAAAAACTGTAGTTATAAATGTTAGTGAAGGAAGAATTTGTTTAATACAGGTGAAAAACGAAAAAATCAAATTAAACTGAAAAAGGCGAAAAAATTCAGTTATTGTCAATAAACGGAAAATGATTGACTTTTCAAGAGGAACAAACCTGTTTCGGTTCATATAACAATAATTAATTTAAACGATTATATTAATTTAATTTTACGATTAATTAATTTAAACGATTCTTCTCCTCTGTTTTTCTGGTTGCAAGAATCATAATCCAGATTGAATAATTAAATTGTTATTAAAGAAAAAAGTGCAAGCTAGAAAATTAGTTTTTAATGACATCGTCAATTATATCCAAAATGCAAGCCAAAAAAATAATAAAGAAATTCAATTATTAAGCACATGACCAAACAGATCTATAAAACAAGCCAAAATAATAATAAAAATGTTCTAGTTAAGAAATTTAACTAATAAGCGCATGGTAAATTAGATCCATAAAACAAGCCAAGAAAAAAATGCTATAAAATAAAACAAGGGGGATTACGAAATTTCTTTAATTTTCATGATCACAGGGACATTCTTGCAAAAAAACAGAGGACATTTCCCAACATAACCGCTTCATCGATAGTAAAAATTATAAATTACACAACCAAAAATAGCAAACCACCAATTTTTTAAAATAGTTAATTTTTATTAGTTATTTTTATTAACTTATTAATTTTTCGGGCTTGATTTTATTTAATTTAATAAAGCGAAATTTATCACTATTCAATTTTACGCTAAATATACAACTTCTTTGCACCTCAACTCAATTCTAACATTGCCATCTACCACTCAATTTGATTCTTTTTTCAAAAAAATTCTCAGCAGTAACACAGAATCACCATGTGAACGTTAACACTTTATTAAGATTTTAATTTCACTTTCAATTAACTCATTTGACTTAATTGATTTGGTTTTATTTAAAATTTTTACAATTTTAGGCATATTACTTTTTTTAATTTTATTTATATTTCATTTATTTCCTTTTCGTCTTAGGCTATGAGCCTCCCATTTTTATATGGTTTTCTCATTTTCCCTCAATTTGGACACTTTTCTGCATTTATTTAAAAGTATTTTTAAAATTTAATTTCCTTTAAAATACTTGACTTGAAATACTTTACTTTTGATTTACCATGTTACTTTTTATCTACAAAGTTCTTAGCAATTCTGCTTATTCTTTGGCTCGAAATATGTTTACTTAGTCCATTGCTTTTCGTTACCCAGCGGTTTTTCTGGTTTCTTTCTCGAGAGTCTTCTTATAATGTTTATTTTTACAATTATTTATTTTAATGTCACATCGGAGCAAATTATATATTAATGATTAATTTAATTAAAACATTTGTAATTAATTAAAAAAACATTCAAATTTTTTTACCTTGTTGCATTTTTTGATCACTTTATTTTATTATTTTAATTTTAATTAAATTAACCTTAAATTAGCACTTTCTTTACATTTTTATTTTGAATTGTTTCAAGAATTCATAATCATCTAGATACAATTCAGAGACATGACTCTGTTGAACATTCTTCGACTGCTCCTCTAAAAAGACCAAGGAATTTTCAACAATTTTGGATATTTTGTATAATTTTATTGATTTATATTAGATTTTTTGCTTCAGTTTTGGTATGTGTATTTCTCTTAGAGTGTTAACCTTTTTAATGTTCTAATTTTAATTTAATTATCTCTCGATTATTTCATGAATTTTGCAGCATACTACTCGACTACTCGATTTTTGTTTTTATTTATATATGTAAGATATAACAAAATAAGGCTGCTTTAAAAAATAATTGGACGACCTCAATATTATTTGCTGCTCTCCTTTTTGAATTCATCTGTTCTCTCAACTTCGAGATCATTCCAAATTACGTAACACTGCTTGGAAAAGGTAATTACAACTAATACTTAACAATCATAGCTTAGAATACTCTCCGCACGTACGAGGAGAATAACTTAATAAGTTTTTTATTACTGTTATTTTATTTTCTCATTTAGAACGTACTCTATAATTAAGTAAGTTTTTAACTTCTATTATTTTCGTTTGCCATTTTAAATGTACTGTGTGTTTTAAGTTCTTATATTCTTAAGTTTTTATTTTAAGTCTCAAGTGCGTTTTTTCGCGAATGTATTACAAAGAAAGAAATATAATATTCTTATATTTTCAACATTCTCCATTAGTACATGGTGAATGTCGAAATTTTCCGGTGTAAGTCAGAAATAAGAGTATTTAGAAAATATTTCGGACATACACCAAGCGACTATGTGAATGTTGACATTCTCCAGATTTCGGTGTTTCACCGTAACTCATATAAAACATTAGTTGTATTCAAATATGATGGAAAAGTAATTTGTCTGCCAAAGAAATAATTTTTGATGTGCCTGGAAGTAAAGATGGTGATTCGCAGAAATTTTTTTTGTCAACGCCTTATTCCTGCCTGCCATCCAGCCACGCGTACAGCCAGAAGTTAAAAGTACTGGATATTAAAAGTACCGAGAACTTAGTGATTTTACATACTATATATAATTTCAAAATTCTTTGCTTGAATAGGAGTTAATAACCATTCTTTAGATTCTTAGATGATTCTTTAGATTCTTTCAGATGATAACACTGTTTGAGGAAATAAACTCTGAAAGTCTTACAGTTTTATGTTTGTGTAACGCAACAAAATACATAAAGCTTTTTAGCGTTTTCTCAACTTCATGAAATCATGAGATGTTCTGCTTTAATATAACTGCATAAACCAAATTATCCAGGGTATAACTCGTCAACAAATTCAAAATATCATTATGGTAATAATGTCATTTCAAAATTATAAAAATAAATTAAGAAGAATTATGAATTTAAGAATGATAAAACTGCTCACAAGTTTTTGAAATGTAGATTCTATCCAGTCCTATTTTTAGAAATAATAAATTAATCAGATATTTAGGTAAGTGTTTTTCAAAGTTTACTCTACATGAAATTACAGAATTTCACGTGTTTAAGGTATACGGAATTTTTATCTTCTATAAAAAGACGCTTTATTTTTGAAAAGGTTTTCTTTTTCCTTAAAAATATTATTTTTAATATTTTTGTGATTATTTGTAATTTATACAAAAGATATCGAACCTTTCAAAAGTTGTTTTCAAATTGGTCAGCTATGGTACTTTAAATTCAGTCAACCTGTGTATTAAAATACAAAATGCTAAGGAAAATGTTTTCTAAGTACTTAATAATACTTAGAAATAGCTATAAATGTTAATTCACTAAATAAGCTAGCGATAAATGTTAACTCACTAAATGGCATATTTATGTATTTATAATTCTTATACAAAATGTTTTCTCTGATAAAGTATTCTAACGGTTTTCCCAATGTTACTCTTTTCAGTGAAAATCCGATGCAGCGATACGAAAATCGTAGTATTTGTGGAGACATCCAGGCCTTTCCATGGTCGAGTGTATGCCCTGGGAAGAAGCGAAACTTGTAATGCTCATATCCACAACAGCCAAAACTTTCAACTGGATCTCTCTCTGTCTGGACAAGACTGCAACACCCAATCACTGGTAATTGATTGGCTTCTGTTGAATTATTTTCTTATATCTAGTTGCTTATTTTAAGAGACGAGGAAAGACAAATAAAAATTTTGCAAAGGTTTGCATTTAGAAAATAACTTTAATGAAACTGTGTAATTGAATTTTGAGTAATGAGATATCCCATCAAAAACTGGTTTCTTAATGCGTATTTATGATAATCGTAGACATTTTCTATCATTATGGTATCATGAAAGTAAACCTGGTTATATGGGCAGGAACGCTTTAAGGATCAGTTGGTTGAAAAACTATCATTATGATAACTTAGTATAATGACTAGTTTGCGTCACAGTACTCAAATCTTCATGCATGAACTTTTGATTTTGTTCTTACCCATTTAATGCCGTGCACCTGTCCTGTCATGCAAAGAAATTGGGTAAAGTTAAATTCAAGGTGCATTATCAGTATTTAATGTATTTCATAAAAACAAACTTTTATTATCTATTGATTTCGTTGCTACACTGTGGAAGGATAAATACGATCAAGATATTAATTATCATAAAACGAAGCCACATGAAATGAAACAAAACAATGTAAAATAAAATAACTGTCTTTTGCATTTGAATTTTTCGGTGCAAACTTAGGCATCAGAATTTCTTTTGGAAAGAAATTCAGATTTTTTGGTCATAAATGGCCCTTTCAGTCATTTGACATTATTCGCTTCATTTTTCTCATAGGGAAAATTCATTTCTTCTCAAAATATGATTATAAATACGACCGAATTATCGTTGCGACTGCTGTATTAAAACATACAACTTTTCACGAGACCACTAAACCTAAGTAGAGTTACAAGAGTTTTGGTTTCATGTTTGATACTTAGGACTCACTCATTACATAAAACGTTGCCTGCAATATATTACGTTTTTCAGGAGTTTATATTTTGTTATATTATCGTTGTTGAATGCTGTAATTAACGAATAGGAATGCTTTGGCATACAATCAAACTACTGTTAAGAGTACGTGACTCATGCTTACTAGAATGAAAGCTTCGAATATGATTTTCTGTTTTTTTTTTTTTTTTTTTTTTTTTTTTTTTATCATAGGCTGGCGTATACACGAACACAGTAGTCCTGCAGCATCATAATGTTGTACTTACAAAGGCAGACAAGATGTACAATGTTCGCTGTACCTATGAAACCACATCCAGGAACGTATCTTTTGGCATGATTCCTGTAAGGTAAGTGGAATATAATATTTACATTGCTATATTTTCAATAACAAGAAATGTTATATAAGTAGCCCTATAAAGAAAATCTCATTTTTCCTTTTTCCTAAATATTTATATTAATTAGACATTTAAATTTTCTTAAGGGATCCTGCTACTCTCGAAGTTTCGGGAGCCCCTGAAGCACCTCTGCCTCAAATTGTTATCCTTGGGCAAGATGGCCGAGAAGCAAGCACAGTGCGCATTGGTGATAGACTCACTTTCCACATTGAGATACCAGAAGATAGTGAGCGAATTTTCTGTATTTCCCTTATCAATTTTCAGCTGTTGTTGTATTTTTTATAGCTTTCTTTGTATATTTTGTTGTAAATATAATTTATATACACATAAATACATTCATTAGAACTTCAAATATTCGAAATAACTTTGGTTTCGTTCATTGTATTTTATTTTAACAGAAAGGATACAAGAAAGATTATTTTATTCTTTGGAATGAATAATCTGTTACTAAAAACAAAGTAACGGGCAGAAGAAGCACGTTTTGCTTCATAAATCTAGCTTTGCTGTGAAATAAAAGATAAACACTGAACGAAAGAGAGAGAGGGGTTCTAAAATCTTTGATTTACCTTTGAGGAGATTTCACAATGAAATAATAAAAATAATACGATCAACAAATGCTAAAAATAAATCTTTACTTCTTATTTACGTACCAAAAATAAATATTTACACTTAGATGCTAAAATTAAATTTTTACTCTTAGACAAAATTAAAGTCCAATTACAAAAATTCAGTTTCGAAAAACCTTACAACTATATCTAAATTTCTTTCTTGAATCTCGAATAGTATAAACAGTTAAATGTTAAATTATTAAAAAGTATATTTCTGTTTAAATAAAATTAAAGACAGAAGCTAGAGATGATTGCAATTGATATGCTGCTAAACTTATAAAGTATTTCTCCCGCTTTCCTAGCGTGCCTTCGTGGTGTAGTGTTTCTGCACGCTGGGCCGGTATTCCAGCTGGGCCGGTATGCACGCTGGGCCGTGGTTCGATTTCCGGCGAAGGTGGTTGCTAATTTTTCATCTTGCCTGCTTTTTTTTAAAAAAAAAAAAAAAAAAAAACACCTAATGTCTCTACACAATGTCATCATCATCACTAGATTTTCCTATTGAATGTAAATGAAAATGCACAGAATTACAGTTACAAATTTTACTATTTATTAAGAAGCGTATGGCTCGCTCTGTTGAGCTCATAAACATAATAATATCGTTACGATTAGAAATATAAGTTAAAGCTGCCTCGTGGTTGACAATGTGTCATCGATTTTCCAGTGCTATGTATTTGTTTTTTTTTACTTTTTATATTAAATTATTATTATTTTTTTAAAACTTTTATATGTTTATAAAAGTCTGTTCGTGAAATATGTACATAAGGCATGTCAAAGTTAGTATTCCTGCAACATGGATTAGCTATATGGATCTCGCTGAGGAATTGTTCCTTTTCATATCAGAGAGAAACTGCTTCCCCTCATTTATAGCTATTTTCTGTCTTTCCACCGACGGCAGAGCTGTTAGCATATCGATCAGGTGGCCCCACTGACGGAATTCGTACATACTATCGAATATGGAAATCACGTACGACGCAAATTTCAGACTTCTGGAAACTGTGCGGACAAGTATTTGTAAAATTTCTTTGACATCCGCTGTATCGAATTTTTGCTTTGCATTTCTCCTAATGCGTTGCATTTCTCCTAATTCCATTTACTGAATGTTAGTTGAGAAAATATATAAAGAGACGGTCTTTTTGGCAAACATGGTTATATATATTCACCGATATTTCGTAGAATTCTCATTTTTATTAATGTAATGTAATTATACTAGTAAGCCACCGCTTCTATACTGAATCGAATTGTTATTAATAAATAATAATATATTATATTAATAAATAATAATAAAGAATTATTAATTATTTAATTTTAAAAAATGGTTATTAATAAATAATAACTAAAATAGTCAACTCATGCCTTAAATATTATTCATCCCATAATATCTTAAAACTAAACTCCAAACAATTCGCAGAATGCAAATTATAAAATTATATAATAATAATAAGGCTTATAAGATCCATAACAATTGATTGTATTATCGGAACATTAAAATTCACAATTTTAAATATATAAAAATAACATCTTACCTGTTTTCCAAAACAAAGAAGTCTTAAATAGGATTCCATTTTAAATTGCTTTACAAATCGTTACCATCTTCAGCTTAAAAGCAAAGAACATTTTTATTTCTATGAGTTAAGAGTTCGTATAAACTCTGTGAAGAAACAGCAAGATAGTAACAAAGATTTTGAACTTTATGTACAACTCCAAGCGGCGACAATTGTTACGAGTGAAAAATTCGAAGCAACTCCGGATATCTGAGATAAAGCTATCTTCGTCACTGTATACCCCAAATATAAATAATGTAACGAATACAAAAAAAATGTGTGGCAACACTTTACATTCTATAAACGCGAACATTGGTACTGAGTGCGTCCACGGTTCACACATTATTTTTTCTTCACTTTTTCTAATATATTTTTTGTTAGTTTTTCAAAGTTCTTCGAAGTTAGCATCCCTGACATACGTAGAAAAAGAAGATACATTTACAAAACCGAATAGTTTTTTCCTTTACACACTTATTGACTTAGCGATTAATATTACTGCGCTCTTTAAAAGACTTATTTTGAGCCAGTTTTGTTTCATTAATTCAATTGCTTCATTAATTTAATTTAAATTTTGGATTATCTTATTTGATTGAATTCTTTCTAAACTATATGAACAAGAATAAAATATGAAATATATTGCGAATATCTTAGAATTTTATTAATAAGTAAATAATTAATTTAGTACAGAAAATTTTTATATTTTAGAAGCAACTAACCACGAAAAATGTGATTTCTCAATGGAAATTTTTCCTTGTGTGCATTAATTGTAAATTAATATATGCTTAGAGTTTTCCACATTAGCTACAAATTATTTTCTGGGATGCATGAAGAAACTGTATAAATCCATATTTCTTCATTAGCCTAAAACTATGAGCTATTCTTACAAGTTTTTCGTTTAGTATAGGCTAATGCTAACTTTTTAAATGATTGATTGCACAGGGAATATCGTTTCGTTTTCCCTTATTCACAACTTCAAGCGCAATAGTACGAAAATGTCTTGCTTATCTCTATTCATAGCACGTACACAAATTCCGTCATTTTTAAACAAGATCAGTATCTTCTTTTTATCGCCATGAGTACTCAACATCTTATTACAACGCTGGTGTGACTATGTTTTATTTATATGTTTATTATTCCTATCCAGCAACTTTTCCGCCTCTCTGACATTTCATGAGATATACCTTTAAACCGAATAAATGCGACAAATGCATAGGACACTGTAAGAACTAATGCATAGAATACTATAGCTCTATCTGAGATAAAGCTACAGTGTTCTATGAATTTATTCGGTGTTTATTAAATATTAAAGATTTAATATAATGTAAGTCCTTACAACAGGTCGCTGTTTGGAATTAGATGCTCAAATATTTGATTAATTTTTATGTTTCAATTACAGTTGCAATTCATTCACCAGCTAACACAATTTTACGGCCTCTTTTCTTCTTTTTTGGTGTTGCACTTTCCGATGCTAAGCATTTCTGCGCTGCTTTTTGATGGAATGTTAATTCAGTTTAAAATGGTTGTGTGGATACGTAATTGAACGGACATTCTTCTCATTTAGGGTCTTGTTGTTTCAACCTGTTGCCCATTAGTAAGAATTATTTAATACGACGACTTAAAGTGTACCAAATATAAACGTTTAGTATGTGTTATGAGAATGAAAACTACCAGACAGAAAATACTGCCTGAAATCTTCAATGCGAGTTTGAAAATAATCTTAAAACTTCCCAAATCAGAATATCTATCTATTCATGAAAAAAACTCTCTAAATCACGAAACAGCATTAGAAGACATATGAGAAGAATTTTTAGAATGCAAACTCGAATCTTGAGGCAAAAAATAGTTTAGTGGGAAAACTTCCGGAGTTAATGGATTTTCGAAAGAATTTCTAACCGAGATTTAAGCAGCGGATAAAAGCGTTTCAACAATGTTTTCAAATTCACGCATGCTTGCAGTCGCATTAAGTCGTCTGAAGTTTATTTCTATGAAAACACTTACTTATTATTGTTTTTTACTACCAAAAAATGTGCTTAAAACATAAAATTGTAGAACCTAAGGATAAGGCAATAAATAATACGAATATCTGTGGAGTCCATCATTTTGTAACAGAGGAAGGATTTAACTGCTTGATTAGTAATACTAAGTGAAAAGATAGCAGATGGTAACGGAGTGGACGACATGAAAGAATATTTTAATACAAATGCGTAAATAAACTTCCCTATATTTTTTATATTACAAAAGCAAAATTACTCAAGATGGCAAACACCTGCTTCTCAAAGACTGCATTGTTATATGACCTGTGACCGCACGTTTGAAGTGCATTAGAATCTTGAAAGCTATTTTCCCTAACCATTTTTATTTTCCAGTGTTCATTTTGCACGTATTAAATTTTCATCACTGCCTTTGGTAAATATTTTTTCTAGCTTCTATTAACCTGTAATTTTTTCCTTTTAGCTCCTTACGGAATATTTGCTCGAAGCTGTTTCGCTATGGCCAAAGACGGAAGAAGCACTTTCGAAATCATCGATGACAGGGGGTAATTATGTCTCTCTTAATAAAACTCATTTCTGCAATGCTAGTAATCGTTGACGGGGCGGTACTTTTGACTGCCGCTTTTTGTCCGGTGGCGCTTTCACAAGTCACGAAATTGGCAAAATCGTCAATTCGGAATATGAATGTGCAATAAAACTTTACAAGACGCGGGAATTCTTAAAAGAGGTTGATTATAATTCTTCCTTTCGTTATTCAAGCAATAATAGAAAGACCGGAAAAAAGCTAACCAATTCGCGGAAGTCAGCGGAGACAAAAGGGAGAGAAAAATAGTAAGGAGAGGGGAAAAAATGTTTGTGTATCATAGCCGAAGGAGCTAGCAGTTTTATGCTCATGGTCATGCAACCTCTTATCTATGGCTATAAGTTCGTAATAATATAAGTGGTTGTTCAATTTAAATGTTAAAATTAAAAGGCAGCAAATTCAACATAAAAACGTTTTTTTAATCTTTCACTCGCCGTATTAAATTCTATTACTCCTCTAAATAGAAAAGGCTTTCTTTCTTTCTTATTTTTTTTATTTATTACATAACGGTCACTCATTTTTAATAGTTATCGCAGCAATTTATTGATCATGACCTTTTCCATTCTTTCTGAACGGGTATTGTAACATAGCATTATTTTTATTAATTTGACTTTTTCACTGTTTGAAGAATTTGTAATTCAATGCCTAAAGTGTTTTTGTCCCTATGTAATATTCCATTGATCCTGAAAGTTAATGGAGATATCGTCGCACTTTAGCTAACCATTCGAAAAAGTTTGAAAGTAGAGATCACTTTTTTTAAGTTAAATAGCCACATGTTGCTCTTTATTTAATTACGTAATGAACAGATATATGAGGTAATATATATAAAACTTAAACACATATATTAGCTTCAAGTCTTGAGATTATTTGATAAACAAATTGATTAAAACTAGAACTAATCATACCTGCAGCCAAAAATCCCTTATGGCCTGGAAAATAACAACAAAATTATCACCTTCTTCGTGAATTCAGTGGCATAAATTCGCTTAAAAACGAATTTGTAATGTCGAGTGGTTCCGCAATGCTTTTTTTGCGCCGTTTTGCGAATATCAGTTTAAACACTCCCAAAACTTCGTGAAAACTGCTGACATAAGACAGGTCCCAAATTTTAATTATTTTTCCAAATACGAGAAAAGAATATAGAAATATCTTTAGTTAGCAAAATATAAACTGGCTTAGAGTCATATAATACTAAAGCGAAGATCTTATGAGTATTCGGTGATATTGTAAGGATCTTAGCAGTTTTAGTTTGCCTGTTTCCTTGATAAATTTAAAACGTATTGTAGTGTTCACAGTCTCTGTACTACATACGCTTCCTGTTAATATAAGGCCAATCTTCCACGTGTATTATTCTAAAGTTAAATTAGAGTTTAGTTTTTTATTTTTATACTTTTACGTTAGACCCCAAGTGGCGGGTCAGTGTATTCCGAAGTACGGAAGTTATTGTATATAGAGAAAAATAAAGAAAAAAAGGGTTTTGTATACCCTTTGTCTGTATCCTGTCTACTTACCACAATTAGTGAACATAGCTTTAGTAAGCTCTCTGTTCCGAGTCAGGTCCTTGTATGTTCCCGAAGAAGGTTAGAAGGAACATTGACCCTGATAATATTATCGCAAAACCACACTCTTTAGTGACAATTTATAGCTGCAGGAAATAGACAGGGGGAATACATGAGTACCATTTTAGTCTCAGTTCCTTATCAAAGATACTCTTTCTGTCAGAGTGTATTAAGATCACTTTTCCCATCGCAGTGAATGAGAAAATATTTTTCTGAATTTCCCACAAAATTATAGCATCCTTGTTAATGAGATATTTTTATATATTGATCAGAGTTTGGAATCAGCGTTTGGAATTTCATACTGAATTAAATCAATTTACTAATTCTAAAAGAAACAAACTATACGATCTTATTACTGTTATAATTATTTCTGTTATATTATTGTTATAATTATCACTATTTTCACTACTATAAAATACTTCATTTTTTCTTTCCATCTGTTGCAGTTATCCAAAAATGCTCCTGCTGTTAATCAGCAGTCTTTTTTGTAACTTTTCTATTCATCAAAATTCGGCACATTTATTATGCAATTCAATTGCTTGATTTCATGTGTATGGAGGAGAGAAGATTTTTATGCTGAAAAATGAAATTTTCTTCTGAAATGATGATCTTTCGAAAAGACGAAGATCATCATTTCAGAAGAAAATTTTAAGTGAAAAATACCCAAAAGGTCTCATATTTTTTTCATTTACAACTGATTTGTATTTATGTATCAACATAATATATTTAGAAAAATGCCTGACATAAGCTTTAAGAATTTTTTCTTCTGTAACTGCAAGTAGTTCTCCCACCGCAAAAGTTAAGAGCAAATTGTTATCACATCACAATTGCTTATTAGCAATACTCGTAGCACAGCTTTCTTACTAGTGAATTCTGATCATTTCTGATGGTAAGCGGATGATTTTCTCCCTTTATTTGAACATTGGCTGTCTTATAATTAGAATACTACTGTTTCGTTCATTTTTCTTTTGTAGCTCAACCTAACTTTTCATTCAAACGAGTCAATGACATACAAATAAATTTTAATGTTATTTGCTATATAATATGTATATCAAATGACCTAAAACTTATTCATCATAAATCGAAGCATAAGTATTTATGAAGAATATTTTATAACTTTGCTTATAGTTTATAACTTTGCTTATAACTTACACGTCAAGTTTTAAAGGTATTTAAAGGTATTTTAAAGGATTTAAATGTATTTTAAAGGTATTTAAAACTTGACGTGCAAGTGCTGTATAAACATTAATTCTCCAAGACATCTGTTGTCAGTCTCTGATTGATGCTAGCTATATTTATAAGTACAAAATGATTCAGCTGTTAAGGTTTCTGGCCTCGGATAACTCACAACAACTCTTATAAGAACCTTTCATATTTTATCATTAAATAAACACATAACAATTGGTTTGTTAAGAGTATCGCCTTACATGACCCAAACTCTCATCGTCATTTTTCGTTTGCCTCTTAAATTGGCATGAAACAGCTAAACATTTCAGTTTTGAATGACCTTAAACACTTTGTTGCAAAAATTGCGCTTGCTACCCGAAAGTCATTTATTGTTTTGGATAAAATCACTCCAGGCCACAATGCTTTCAGTCGCTAATGTGGTTGCCGAGTATTTTCGGGAAAGGCAATCTGCAGTTATGATCTTTTTATGCAATAAATTGGTCTTATATGCAATATTCAATTCGTCAAATGATATCCTTAGATGCCTAATTTCTCTAAATTTTATTAATGTCACCAGTTCTTAGTATTTTCAAGAGTTTTGTATGTACATTTACACATAATTTCTATAATAATATATTATTTATTTTACAATTTCCATAAGCGAGCAAGAATATTTTTGTAGAATTAGCTGTAAGAACTCAAATTTTCGAAATTTGACAACAGACTATTCAAATATTTGAAAATTACAAATAATTGAGTTATCTTGCTTCTGTAGATCAAGTACATGCCAATCATTTGTAGTATAAATAACGACGGAATTTCATTTTATTTTTGCACTTACCATATTTCATTTTAACAAATATTATACAATTAAAAAAATTAAATTTTCACAAAACAGTCTTTTTTGACAAAATTAACATCAAAATCGGTTATCCAAAGCGCAACTCATTTGAAATAAAATATAGAAATTAATTTTTATTAATTAGGTTTTGAAAATTAAATGGATAATCCTAATTTTATTTTTCCTTATTAGTTGCTTATCAAACGGAGAGATGATTTTTCATTTGAGCAAACAATCGGTTTCTTTTCAACTAAAATTAAACTAAGGAATTATTTCTTTATTAACATAAAATAATAAAAAATATCTTTTATATTTACACCAAAACTGTTTTAAAAACCTAAATCTATCAGCAGTTAAACTGAATTTTATTTGGCTAAAAAAAATAACATGTGATTCGGATAATTACAATTATATTTAGAATCCAAATAATTAGAATTTTGTTCAAAATTGTAATTCATATATAAGTTTTTCCGAAAAATATCAATTATACTAATAAATATAAAAAACATATGACAACGGGGAAATTCTGTAGCTTGGAAATTTTAAGTGAGAAATGCATTATTGCATAATAATACATTGCCCAAAATTATAATCATAAATCTTAGGAACGGGATTTATATAACAGAGTATTAAATATGTAGAATAATATATGACGGCCTGAATCAAAATTTATGTATTAGAGCTATAGTGTGTTGTGCAAAAATATTATGCTCACCTTGTGCACAAATTCATCAATCTGATATATTAAAGATGGAGGAAAAATATCACGAAACTTTCGTCAGATTCTACAAAGACAGTATTGGTAATCACCGTAGTAAGCTTATTAGTTCCTTCTGCGAAGAGGCTCTCGGTGATCAAACGTTTAGCACAAAAATAGCATTAAAAATTAAATAAAATTTTGATATAATGATCGAAATATTTCTTAAAGCAGTATATTGTAAAATTATGATACATAAATATAATAATAGTACAATAAATAAGTTTATTTCCTTCTGGGTTGTAAAGGTTACTTATAAAAACATAATGGTATTCTAAGGTATTTTCTCCCTTCTTTCTGCGTGCCTTCATGGTGTAATTGGAAACATACTCGACCGTATTCGGGAGATCCGGAATTCGAATCCGGCTGAGGGCATAGCTCATTTTATGCGTCTCCAGCATAAGCAAAAAACGTAATGAGTCTCTACCCGAAAATAAATAACCCTGCAGATTGAAATATGCAAACTGCAGATTTGACAACTTAGAAAATGAAAACTGTATCAGTGTTAGACCTTAAAAATAGGAATGGTAGACAAAAGATGCTTAAAATTCAAAGCAAATTTATGCTAAAATATTAGATGGAAATAATTGTAGAGAGTCAATCATCATATATTAATTTTTTTAATTAAATATTAATCAAATGTTAAAATTTCAAACACTCGACTTAATTCCAATGAATCTGGAATCAGCGATAATTTCTTTTTGTGTTATGTCTTCTTTAATCGTTTATTATTTATAAACTTCGAACTATTATTCTTTTCTGACAAACGGCTAAATTATTTTGCTAACTGTAAAAATGAGAGATGAAAAGTTGATAAATTTTGATTTGTTCTGACATATAAAATTTGTAAAATTTTGTTTATAGCATATATATTACTTTTTTTAATTAACTTATCAAGGACTTAACGATCTCGTATACTCGGATAAAAAATATAATAAACAAAACCAGATCATGATAGAGTTTAATTTTCTCATCCTGATTCATACTGAAAGGTTGAATGTATTTTGAGAGAAAAACAGCAAAGTTTCATTATCCAGAAGGAAACGTTTTTGAAATTTAAAACAGTTTTCTCCTGAGTAAAGCAATGTTCTTAGTTTCTAAAATATTCTTTCCATTTTTATTTAATTACAAACAGAGATCTGTTTATGCAAGGTTTAAATGTTAATCTCTTGCATTACTGCCAACGATAAGAAATAGAAATAAGCCACAGTGAGGCATTTTTGATTAAACTGATGAATCACTAAACAGTGTTCAGCTATGCTTATATCAAATGTAAATTTCTGTTTATTGTTTTCAGATGCCCTGTAGATCCTGTGATATTTCCTCGATTTTTGCAAGTGGGTGACGCTTTGGAAAGTTCTTATGAAGCCTTCCGTTTCACAGAATCCTATGGTGTTATATTCCAGTGTAATGTCAAATACTGCGTTGGAAAATGTGAACCAGTGAGTTCCCTTTTATGATGCACTTTTTTCAATTAGATTTAAGTTAGTGGGGTGAAGGATTATGCCTGTATGTTGAAAGAATGACATTTTAAATGATTACATTAAAACCGGAAGTTTTCTTTCTCTTGCTAATTGAAATTATTAACCTTTAAGAGTTATAAAACAATTCAAGTGTTCCTAAAAATATTTTACCGTGGATTATGAAATGTTTTTTTTTCCTGCACACCCATTCAATATGCGCCGTAACTAGTGGAGTAAGTTTATATTGGCGCAAACGTTCGCTATTAGTTTCGCAAATTTCAAGAAATTTTCCAAGATTTCGTATTTTAGATTTTTTACTATTTTTTAAAAATTTTATCAGTTATTGTATTATATTTAATTATTTTGGTTCTACCTTTCATTAGAATTTAAGCGAAAATTATTTTTCAAAATAATCTTTCTTCAGAATCTGAACCAAAACTTTGAATTACCTCTCAATTTTTACTTGAATTCAGAAATACAAAAATATTCTTTTTTTGAAGTGATATTAAACACTCATCCTTGTCTTTGAGAAATCACAAATGTCGCTGTGGAATCCTTTTTTTGAATTTCTAAACGTGCTGTTAATCGCAAAAATTTGCGTGTTTAATATAATGCATCAAAATGACATTCTTTTAATGAATCTCATACAGTAATGTTAATTATTTCATAAGTTAATAAATCTCAGCAAGCGGCATGCACCCCTCCCCCTCAAAAAAAAAGTTTATGCAATGTTTCCTTATAGTTTGTAACTTTAAAACAGGAAATTCAATGTTATCTTCCGCCACCCGATTCGACTATGATAACAATAGCGGCGAAAAAAAACACCGTGTCACTTCCATTTCTAATTAGCAGGATTCGATTCTGCAATAAACCAAATAAAAAAAGTTATTCCTTAAAGATAATAAAGTAATAAGAAATAACAAACTTGGAAGCGCACTAGAAGTCGTCCAGTTAAGAGATTGAATGTAATAAATAATAATAATAAAAAGAAAACAATAATTAATTATTTAATTGCTAGAAGTAAATCAGATATAATGAAAAAATAGTAAATTCTGTAAACGATATAAATAGTAATGATGTCAAAATTCTATGAATGACATAAAAAGCGACCGTTAGCTCAGTAAGTCTGCTTAACTATGCTAATAACCACGGCAACAAATACACATTTTTCTACTTTTTAGAATAATAATATTTCATAGTATAGTTTAAGTACTTAATAAATCATGTCATAAGAGAAGTTCATTAAGGTAGCTGAATAAAATAAGAACATTTAAAGAATTATAATAATAGTAAGTTCATAATAGTAAGCATAATAGTAAGTTCAGTGATGATACGAGTAAATTAAGAAAAAATATGTTTCCAAACGACAAGAAATTAGTAGATGTACTGGGTACAAAATTTCTTTTTTTTCTAAAATCGTGTATTTTTGAAGTTTTATTTATTAAGTAAACCTTGACTTTTGCTTTCATTACAAGCTAAAATAAAAAGGGTCATATTTTATGTTATTCTATTTTGAAAATATAAATTTTTAGACAATTTATAATGACTTAAAAGATTTTCTGAAAATATTGCTGATTTTGCTTCGAGAAGATTTTCGTCCCTTAAAGCAGAGTGCGTCAGAAAAAGATGGGCAATTAAGCGAAGTTTCAAAGGCAACTTATTTCGGAAAAGACAGGTGGCATCCATTTGGCGATGGAACAAATATGTACGTTCTACAATAATATGGAACTGTTCATCTCCTTGTTATAAAGAGATAACTGTAACATTCTTCGTCAACTTTCTAAAGATAACTAAGTGAAAGAGACAGAATAAAAATACTGTTGTTCAAAATCTACAAAGAGGCATAAAAGCTTTCTGAGTTTACAACTCAGAAGCATAGACCATTAAATGAAATTTTTTTTAAACCACAAACAGATTTTAACCGATTCAGTTTCAACAATCTTGAGTATCTTTTGCTACAAAGTTTGAAACATACTGTTGCCAGTCAAAATAAATGTTTATCTCACAAAGTACATAAAAGTTAAAAGTTAAAATCAGAGTTAAAAATGTTAAAGATTATGTGTAGAAAAATATGTTTGTTTATGTGCAGCTTTTGACTTAGAACTAATAAATTTTTTTATATAAAGTGATCATTAAAAATAATCACTTTATACGTTAAGAAATGCATAAAGCTGACAGATATGTGTAATAATATCCAATGTATGTAAGGTTATCAAGTATGACATGTTTTTCTTCAGGCATTATGCGGTGATTATTTGAGCTTGTCTCGTGAGGAATCCTGGGGTCGTAAGAAACGTTCAACATCAGAAAACGAGCCTCTCCAAGACGAAATGACTCTCAGCAAAGAAATTCTGGTTCTTGATTTTGGAGACGAAGGCGTTTCTACATCTTTGCACCACACTCCTCACTCTGCAAATGGTAAGTTCAAGCATAATACATACACGGGTTGGACAAAAATATGGAAACACCTTTAAAAAAACACGTTTCTTTGCTTAATATGGTGTAGGAAACCCGTTGACATCCAAAACAGCTTGCAGTCTTCTCGGAATGGATAAATACAGTTCCTGTATGTTTGCCAACGGAATATTATACCATTCTTCCTGCAAAACGGTAGCAAGTTCAGATAACGATGTTGGCGGTGGATAACGAGAACACACTTTCCGTTCCAATGTAGACCACAGAGGTTCGATAATATTCAGGTCTGGTGACTGTGGTGGCCAGGGGAGATGGGACAACTCATCCTCGTGCTCAGAAAACCAGTCCTGGACAATGTGAGCTGTGTGAACAGGGCTTTGTCGTCTTGGAAGACACCATCACCATCGGGGAACAAAGTTTGTACCATGGGATGAACTTGATCGGCCAAAATGTTCACATAAGTCTTGGCAGTCTGTGCCCTGACACAGTTATCATGGGGCTAGCAGAGAAAACCACGATATGGCTGCCCAAACCATACCAAACCCGCCATGTTTCACTCTTGGCAACAAGCAGTCTGTATTATAGGCTTGAGATGGCGTTCTCCAGACGTAACTCGGCCAGAAGTGGAAACAATGTGCAAGAAGACTCTCAGACCATATTACTCGCTTCCACTGCTCTATAGTCCAGGCTTTATGACTTAAACACCACCTTTCCTGTTACGGGCATTAGCATCACTGATGAGTGGCTTCTCAATTGCAGCACGGCCAGCAATTCCTGTTTATGAAGCTCCCTTCTAATGTTTTGGTCCTCGCAGGGTTCGGTAACACAACATTCATTCAGCAGTAACTTTTGCAGCTGTGGTCTTCTTATTTTTCGTCACAATTGCCTTAATGATCGTCTGTCACGATCACTCAGGACACAATTCGTCCGCGCTGTTGATGTTTTCCGTTCAAATATGAGGATAAATCTTCGATACCAGTACCTCTTGAAACACTAAAACCTCGGCTACCTTGCTTACGGAAGCACCTACCATACGTGCTCCAACAATTTGCCCACGTTCGAAGTCTGTTAACTCTGACTAAATGCAATGACAACCTCACATAACAGTACTCCGACAACAACTGAACTGTTTAGCACATTTACGAAGTTGTATAGGTGGCGTCAGTAGTCAAAAACGCCAGCGCCACCTACATATTTCATTAAAACCAATCTTTCTTTTCAAACATGCATTTCACAAGGTGTTTCCATATTTTTGTCCATCCACTGTATGTTATACCTATATGACTTTGACTTGGATGTAATTAAAACATGGTTTAAGATTAGACTCGAATACCATTTTTTATAATACAGTTAGAAATTATTGCTATGTATTTATGTATATAAGAAATATACATTCATTCATCAAAAAATATTAGTTTAAATTAGTGGTTCCCAAGCTTTTAACCTGGAGATTCTTATAGTTTCTTTGAGGAAAAAATAGCAATGTCTTAGGAGAAAATAATGTAATAATTAAATATATATATTGATTTAAAATTTTAATAACTTTTATTAATAAATTAACAATTATAATTAAATATTCATAATTATATCGGAAATTGTACAGAAAGTTTCAAAAGGTTTCGCGTAAATTCTTTCATTAAAAAAATTTCGAGTGATTATAGTTTCTTTATGTTGATTATATTTGAAGATCTGGAATTTATTAAAATGATGCCTCAATACCTTTCCCTCGAGTATGTTTTCGCTATTTTAGAGATGCTAAGGTTAAAAATATGTTGATGGTTACTGTGAACTTAGATGATATTTATGGAATAGATTCAAGACTAGTTGTAGTAGTAAGTCGCAAATTTTAATATCCATCTAGTATTATACCAAATAAAAATAACTTATTGGGTACACAGTGTTTAGAAATAACTTAAGCATATATAAAAGTATGCCAGTTAGGAGACCTACATTAAAAAACTATATTTAGTTTCCAATAATGTGTAAGATTCTCACTAGATTATTTCTCAGTTACTGTAGAAAGTGACGAAACTTAAGAACTAGTTAGCGAATAATCGCTTAAGTTCGTGTAACAAGAAACAACAAGATGGAAGGGTAAGTAACCCTTTATTATTCCAATAAGATTTAACAAAACTCCGTCTTGGAGTGTGCAATCAAAGCCGACACTTGGGCTTGAACTTAAGAGACTAAAAATTTAAACTAAGATTGACTAAAAAGATATAGCCGAAGCTATCAAGATTCTAATCGAGTTGGCCCCTTAACTCTATTTGACTACGAAGCTTATCAAGGGCCTGAGTACGGCCGAGCGTAATAACAACTTTGAGAGAGAGAGAGTAGCCAAAAGGCAGACGCGCGTAAATCAGAAGCACTGATTCTCTCTAACTCTGCAACTACACTTCGCGGTTTAAATACCGCTCCTCCTCATTAAGTATTCAGAAAGTTTCCAAAACTACGTTCTGGCTGGAAGTAGTAAATTGAAGTTAAGAATTTGACAGGAAAGGAACTTAAAATTTAACTGTTAATAAAACTAACATAATCCTTACAAATGAACGGAAGAGGAAGTTAAAAATATATTCCATGCAGGTAAGTTTCAGCAAAAGATTTTATAAACTTGATTTAAATATTTCCGGGGCAATATGACGTCACAGATGCAAATTTTATTGCTTTTGATTTTATTTGTGATAAAATTAGAAAGATATTTTCTATGAATAACTACGATTGAACAATAAAGTTAAAGGTAACAATGTTTATTAAAATTGCTTTACGTTATGGTTAATAACACGAAAGGTTTGAATTTTAAAAAGAAATTTTAAAGCAACTTATGCTTATTTTACCCTCATTTTAAGTGTACGTAATTTGGCATAGAACACTTTATAATCGATTCACGAAATTCGAATTAACTCTGACCATTTAGTATATCTGAAAATTGTCCTGCGTTACAAAGTCAAAAGTAAATATATATTTTCATTTCAGAAACTTTCGCTGTTCAGCATTCAGTTGGTATTTTGGAAGAATGTGCTTCCCGAACATCGGTAATGGCACTTGGAGTTACAACAGCGCTTCTTCTGGTCATCTATATTTGCACTGTGGCTTATTTCGTAGCTCACCAAAGAGCTGAAAAGGAATTCAGGGCCTAAAAAGTTAATCTCTATAAAAAAAAACATTTTGTTCCTTTAAAAGAATGGTGAAACAGTCTTAGGATGCCCATCCTATTAATATTATGTCTCAGAATGGGTGAAAGAAAGACTTATTTTCAAAACATTCTGTGACGATCAGGAAGGTAATCGGACTTAGTATTATGTTTAATTGTAAATCTCTTTTATTAGAGTATATATGATTTTGCATTAACATATATATTTCGAGCATGGTTTCAGGTTAGTAAATAAGTTTCCAGATTTGTTGAAGTCAAAACCTGATGTAAAACTAGGGGACTCATCGTAGTTATTGCTCGAGATAAATTTTGTAGCAATTTAAAAAAAAATTAAGTTTTCATGTAAATATTTTCTGTCTACACATCACTAGAAAATTCTTAAAACAAACAGAAAACGATTTTAAGAAACTGAGCAAATATTACATATCACAGTAAGATTAATTTCCTCTTAAGTTAACTGTTATTTCACTGAAATTTTTTAGTTACGTACCATTCTCAGAGATGACTTTAAACTAACGTTTAGACATATGACTTATCATTGATTTAACATATCTGTGCTGTGAAAATTTTATGTTTAAATCTGTTATTAGTATAAAATTTCAACTGATTCCGTTATAAATGAAACAATAGCTTTAGCTTACCTTGCAATGATTCTTTCTGCATGAATTTTCTCTAGCAATGCCATTAGTAAACGTTAAGCTTAATATAATTGATTCAGAAGGTATTGTTTACGTCCATTCAATTATACCGCTCTGTAATATTGCCAAGATTAATTTATATTTATTTATTTATTTATTCTGTATTCATCAGTATGTTTTTGTATATTCATTGTGAGCGTTTATTTATTATTTTCATCGCGCATGTTCCATATTTAAGGTCAGTTTCAATCATTCACTTTGTGCCTTCCTAACATAAATGTATGTAAAAATAATGGTCATGTTCTTGAAAGGCTGGTTAATGGTTTTTATTTTCTGTGATAGCACTATGAGCAAATAAAAATGGTTATATAAAAGCGGTGATAAAATGAATATTTTTCTGCTCATTTTTTACCTTAGTTTAGTTAAACCTATTAAACATGTTGAGCTAAAAATTAAAAACATGTTTACTTTGTGAAAATATATATGAATTGTTACATTGCATGACTACTTGCACTGAAGTTATGCATTGATTTAAAGAAGGATAATATCTTATATCTTTGAAACTAAGTATATAAATACTGCTTTGGGAATTACTTTGAAAACTGCTATAAATTGTATTAAAGTTATTGCTTCTGTTCTGTTGTACACGAATAATTATTATCCACCAAAATAGGAATATAATTATTGACTCTGCAATAGTCTTTGTAATCCCTTTAATTTTGGTTTTACTTTTGTAACATTTTAAATATTTCAATAGTTACATTAAAAACAGTTGTTTTAAAAATCACCGCTTTTGGATAACCCTGAAAATTTAAGCATAGTGCTAGGGTTAGTGAATAATTTTAATGGGTGCAAAGATTTATTTATGCTACCTTTGTTGATAGCTTTGCTAATTTTATTTTATATGTTTATTTATTTATGTGTAATGTATATGTCTTATTTTTAAAAATTTATAATAAAAATATCACTTATATTTTTGTTCTCTGGCTTGTTATTACACATTTTTATACAAATTTTAAAAGCATTTTCAACATGGAAACTTTCAACTTATTAACTTAGTAGGAATCATCGTCCCAATTTTTTCTAAACTTTTCAGTTTTAAGTAATACTTACTAGGGAAGAAAAGTTGTATCCTCAATATTAACAAATTACAAATTCTTAAAGCTTAGGGATGAAACAAAAATTACGAATTTTTTCATAATCTGATATTCTTCCTTTTAATTTTCTTGATTCAGTTTCTGAAGAACCATTACGAAATCAATTATTAATGTCTACTTTGAAGTTTCTTCTCTGTGCAGGATGTTTACCCTGCAAATTTAAATTTGCGTGGTTAAATTTATAAGATCTCAATTCTACTTTATTTATTACCTAATTTTTTACGTTTTGTAAACGTTTTGTGATATGCAGAAAAACTTTCTTTTCTAAAAGACTACCCTTTTTTCTTTTTTTCTAAGTCAGTACTCTGTTAAATGAAATAAGTAAATTAAATTCTAACATAATTTTGCTATGTATCTCATATGAAGTAATCTAAAAAAAGCATAGTATTCACGAGTTCGGAGTTACACGAATTCATTTAAGAAACAACGCGCTGTACAGAAATGTTATTTTTATTCAAATCTCCAAGATAAAAATATAAAAGTAATTTAATTAAGTTAGGATATGTATCTTAATCTAGTTAGCGTTGCTTTATTTTAAATGCCTAAATCGCTATGGTGTAACTTTGATACAACAAACTGGTTGAAATCAGAAAATATGTTTTCGGTTTTGCACTTTTTGTGTAATGCAGAAAATATCACATAAAATGATTTCACATAAAATAATATCACTTACATTTGAATTATGTAAAAATTCCACTATTTATTTTCTGAGAAAATCATAATGGGCATTTCCATGGTGGATTAATAACTGAAATCATCTTCAACAGAGAAATTTAGGATGGAAGACCTTTAACATAATGATCCCAGAAGTCTAGTTTCAGATATTGCATCTCAGGAAACCTAAAATGTTCTATGAATTCGTTATCATATTTTGCATTTTAATTTGCGTTAACTTAACTAAGTAGTTTTTTCTTTTAGTTGCTTCCGTTTTTCTTCCTTTCATTTCCTGTATCAGATATAAAGTATGAATGTATTTTAAGATATTGCTTCTAAATGTTTTGGTTTTCCCAAATGAAGATGAATTTTAAAGAAAAATTTCATTGACAATAATTACTAATTTTCTGTCATGTAATATTTTGATTGTAATTTAAGTCCTTTTCCGCCCCACCAGTTATTTAAAGATATATTACGCTTAGCAAAATTAAACACTTCTTTTAATTTTTTACAGACTTCTGGAAGTTGTATCATATGTCTTCATGAGATATATTTGTATTCTGTTAAAATTTCTAGATAACGTTTAATCCGCAGACTTTACTTTTAATTTTTTGTGATTCCATTTCGGGTCAAATACATATGTTAAATTTTCATATTGAAGCTTAATAGTGAATGTTGATTTAGTTCATAGTAAATGCTGACTTAATAGTTTTGCTGTTAATAGATGTAACAACAAAACAGTAGATTACTAAAATTCCTGAATTCTCGAAAATTTCAAGAATGATCAATTTAATTATTTTTCGAGTATGTTATATTAACTTTTCCCATTATTCCTAAAATGCTTCTAGTCTAATCAAGCTATTTCGTTAGTATAAATTTCTACTTATATGGAAAATTTTTATTTGATAATTAGACACAAATTTAAAAAAATGAGAGAAATGTAAATGAATGTTAATTTTATTAGTTACGTAGCCTGGACCTTCACTCTGTTTTTCAAAATTGCTTTCTCATCAGGCAGTGCAATCTTTAAGACTTAAGAGAACAGATAAAATATATATAAACTGTTACTGTAAATTCTCAGAGTAAATTAATAACATAGCATTTTAGAGTACAAAAGTAGTCTCTATCACGTATATTCGAAATCCTTGTCGCCCACCAGCGGCCGAGCGGTAAAATCGCTGAACACTGGTAGTTCGGTCCGAGGTTCGAATCCCGCGAACGGACTGGCTGCATGGGCGTTTTCGTGGTTTTTTCCCATGTGTAACGTGTATACGAGCCAGTTTCCCTTAGAAAGTCCTCCACGAAGGCATCCCTCCTCTTAGGCAGATAACCCTCGAGGCTTTGCCATAATCTCACACACACACGAAATTCTTGTCTATTTTTGCCAGTTCACATGAAATTACTTTGTACTCTGTTTAATTCTTCGTTAATTCTATTTCATGTACATGCGAAGTCCTCTCTTGAAGAAATTTAAGTCTTCGCGGTTTCAACTGTTAACATAGTGCGGCTAACAAATTTCCATGTATACTTTTTCTCTTTCCCTTAATCCAGATTTCAGTGTGTAACGGATATACGAGCCAGTTTCCCTTAGAAAGTCCTACACAAAGGCAGCCCTCCCCTTAGGTAGATAATCCTTGAGTGTTTTGCCCTAATCAGACAAACCAACAAAACCAAATAATCCACATTTTAGTTCATACCTTCAACCTCTTTGTTATTCCTAATAAATGTAGATATGAAATTAATTTCTAGAAGTCCAGTTTCAAAATGACTGTCATCCACTTTATTTTCCACATTAATTAAGAATTATTCTCATTTAAAGTGCTAATGAGTAGTCTCTGTTTGTCGTACATAGTACTATTACATATTGCCTCATTTTGGAGCTCCTTAAATTAATGAAAGAATCTTTCTTTCTCAAAAGTCTATCATTATTCTTTCAAAAATTTCTTTATTAGATTCTGTGTTGTTTTAGTTTAATAACTTATTTTCCTAATGATACTCGTTTAAGTTCAGAGATGTACCCACTTAGCTTTACTTCACAAAAATGATTATCTCCGTCTTTAAGCAAGGCAAATAAATTACTCTATACAGTCACTAAAAACATGCTGGCAAAAATAAATTATTGCATAAAAAAGTATATACCTGCACCGATAGTTAAATATTATTTTGAAAGAATAACTTATATTACCTCAGTATTTTAATATTTTTACTAAGGTATGATTGTATACGTAGTTGAGAGGAGTTTGAATTAAATTACATTAAAGAGTTTACATTCAGACTGAATTTCTACACAGAAGATCAAATCTATGTATTTGTGATTGGCAAAATTCTAATGAATTATGGATTCCAAAAGTATGAACCATTGTCAAATATAAATGAAAGAATTTAGCACAGATTATACAGCGTTAAATAATCATATGTAGTATTTTTCACAGAATTTATAAAATTTTATATTTTTTAACATTACAACAGGCAAAATATCAAAGAAATAATTATAGGAGTGTTTATTATAAGATTTATACTATTTAACATTAGAAAAGATGAAATTTCGAAGAAATAACATTTAGGAATATTTAATGCACTTAAATTATAAATATAACCGAAAATGTTATTTTTGACCTTAACTGCATTTTTATAACCTTCCACATAATTCTTTCAAAACTTTTAACATAAAAAACTTATAAATATGTTAATTTCTCTTCCTTAAAATTAATTTCTGTGGCTTCGGAGCAAGACCAATTCCGAGTTCTCCGTCGAAATCAGGTGTTTCTCCTTCTGGTAAACTTATGTTGAATTTTTGAAGAAATGAGGTAAAGTATAGGAAAATTTCCATACGAGCTAATGGTACAGCAGGACAAGATCTTTGACCTGAAAAAGTGAAGTTATCAATCACTACTGTTTGAAAAAACATTTTCTTTAGTTTCATATCATAGCTAACGTAATTCGAAATAAATTTTATTTTATATATCATTGAATCAATAACAATGCATAGACAAATTTTAATATTCAATGAAATTAGATTATCAATAACTGTATATTTTAAATTAATAGTCTGTATTATTTACAGTAACTGAATTATATATTCAGTGAAGCTTGTACTTCATGCATTGCAATGCAGACTCATTTACTTAATTGATGATATCACGACTGATGGAAGTTACAGACTGTATCTTGCAATAAAAGAAGGCAATGGAATTAATAATGGACTTTCTTTCTAAACTCTGAATATGCTGCTATATAACTCTGCATGTTGTTTTAAAGTATTGAAATTGAAACCTTTTGTATGCTCTAGAATAACTGAGAAAATTATCACTCATTACATTAAAGCATTAAATCTTAAGTTTTTAGACATTAGCAGTTAAGTTATTGACAGGAACCCAGAGCCTGGAATTCCTTTTCTTTTAAGCTCAAAATTTTGAGTGGCAAAGCATTTTTGATCTTCTGGTCAATAATTAATTGTGTAACATTTTTAATTAGGTTTATACATTTATTTTTTAAACTCTTTAATATATTTCTCTAAAATATTTAAAACAATGAGTTAATGTTTCAAAGTATTAGAATAATATATAATTTTTATTTCTAAATCAGCTGCTCTGAAGAAGATGAAGTGCCACAGTTAAAACTAATCTCTGTTTATGTTCTGCTATTAGTTGTTTTACTTTTAAACTCAGCCCGTTTCTATAAAAAATTTTAAAAACACAGCAGCATAAAAATGTAGCATAATAAGCAGGAGTGTTATAATGCACTTTTGCCGAGAATATCAATATCTGCTTTAACCTGTTACAGTTTTGGTAACAGTTTTGGTAACTTGGATGGTAACAGAGAATAACCCTTTTATCCTGCAATTGAAGAATTAAAACAGTTTAATTTATATTTGAAGTAACAAATCGGAATAAGAAATTTTAATTAAAATTAGTAAAATTAGTAACGTGCTATTGGACCGTAAATTGATGTATTAATACATCAGAGTTTTAATACATTTTTAATACATTAGTTTCTTCAATTCTCTAATAGCAATAGATTGAAACAAATAATTTAACTGATATTATTAGCCCAAAGGGGCAATTTGCCCAGATGGCCTATTAATTTTGTTTTGGCATTTTGCGTCTTCCACTATGAAACGGAGTTTCACTTTGCAAATTGTTGCCACCAAATATTAAAACCCTGCACTTTATTTAAAGAAATTAAATAATGAAGAATCTGCGGGAATTTTTTATGTTTCTTGCACCATAAAAACAACAGTACCTAAAGACATCAAAGTTTGAATAATTCTAGTACTCCACTCGAATGTGGGCATCTGGAAGTCAAAATTTTGACTTTATTGTATTATTTCACATTTTATAAAACTTTATAACGAATTTTTGGTTAAGAAACTCAACAATTTTAAAAGGAGCAATGGCAATACTGTACTAAAAAATAACACAATTTTAATATAAAATCTGAAAGCTTTCAAATTTTTTAAAAAATTTTCATATTAATAAAAAAAGTTAATTTGTGTAGACAATAATTCAGAACGCAAGACCAATGTTAATTCAGGAAGCAAACAACTATATAATTCGGAATACACCAATTACTCACTTAAGATAGTTTAGTCAGCTTTTGTAATGTTTGATTGACACTTTAGATATGACATCGAAGAGCGATTTAGCAGGACGAGGTGGCAAGGCTATAAATTTCGAGATATTAAGCAAAACAAAGAAAAACTGTGAAACCATTGTTAAATTTTCAAAAACTGGCAAAGTGATTACTTTCCTAATTTTGGTCTTACTGCCAGCAATTATTTAAAACAATAAGGAAAGTGTTACATAAAAATCAATATTATAATTTGCATAATTCCCCTTTTATTTTATTTTTTATTTTATTAGCTTGGTGGTGTCAAAGAAGATATGTTACTTCACTAAGCCCTAGTGAAAAATACCGTTATTCTGAGTTTATGAATTTATATCGTAATGTAGCTATTGACAGAAATATGCGGAACCAAATGGTTCTTCAAGAATGATAATTCGGAAAGCAAAGAAGAATTAAAACGAAGGTTACATCAAATTTTGAAGGGAAATAAACTTCCTGAAATCTAATACCAGATAGTCTACGCCATGAAAAGAAAATGAATTAAAAAAAGCAATGTCAAACTGATCTATATCATCATATGTTGCTTTTAGGGATTAGAAAAGGAAGTACACACCTTGAAGCTTCTGTAATATTAGAGAATATAGTAATCTAGGATGCTAAGATACAAACACTTGGAAGTGGGTGGTAATGTATATAAATTGGCAGTGCTATATGGTTTGACTACAATTTATATACATTACCCCACATTAGCAATAGGCGATCTATAAATTTTGAAATAAGAGCAATCCAACATACAGATTTCATAAAAATGGCGAATTCGAAAGAAACAGAACTATGAACGAAGAAACGAAAATTTTATTTTGAGAACTTGGAGCATGTGGATATCAGCATCACTCATATTGTTCAGAATGCAGAGGCTTAGCCGGATATGTGCGGAATGGCATTAAATGCGCTTTTTGAAATTCTAGTTTAGCGTAGATTATTTTTTTAAGAAATGGTTTGTGAATAATATCTTAAAAGAGGGCATGTTGTAAATGCGAATCTCTAATGTGTTTCTATTTAAGTATGACACATGTATCTCAGTCGCCTTGTTGAATTTGTTATTAAATAGACAAATAACATTTTTAATGTGAATTTGGTCATCGGATGACAAATAATTATTTATAATACGTGAGTTTTCTGGACTGATAAGATTTTCCAGCAATGCCATAAATTTTAACAATGAAAAACCATATCTTAAAGGCTTGAAACTACAAGATATAGTTTAAAGACCTGAGCTGTGTCATTTACGTATCAAGAAGAAGGTGGTATATCATTTGGCTTTCGAAAATTATGAGCATACAGAAAATAAGCAGCAATGTCCAATGCAGAAAATTTAACTGCATATTCTTCATAACATAAATAACATTTCGAAAAATTGATATGAAATTTACCTATAATAGCCAACAAGTTTCGACGTAACCTGCATAGGAGATTCTAGGTTCTGTGAATCTCCTGTGCTTCTTCAGCTGTAGGAGTTAAAATGGCGACAGACAAACATAGGCTTACGCTGAAAAATCCGAGAAGGTTCTAGCTAAAGAATAGAAACAAAATCCTTTAAAACTTAAATCATGCGAATTTAAGTAATTTATGCCGATTCTTGTTGCTCATTATTTATATCTTCAAAACTATTTTTTCTTTTTTTTAGATATAACTTGACAAGAAAGTATCTGAAGATAATATATGTTCTAACTGAAAGGATTAATTCCTAATTGAGTCTTTAACAAGATTAGTATATGAGGCTATAGGACATACTTATACATTTTTATATTATGTGTGAATATTTCCTGATTGCTTTGAAAACGTTAACTTCATTGGCAGTTTGGGCTTTCATATTTTGTGATACAACTTTTTCTTCATTTTCATTATGATTGCATAATGGACAAATATTATATGTGGAAACATATCCATAAATAAGAGCATTCTGTTAATGTAAGCATTAAAAATATCTCATGTTATTCCGAGGCTGTATCATTAAAATCCATTAATATATATATATACATATATAATTTATTTCCTAAACAGTATTGATTAATTGATTATATTATCTCCTAAGTTTAATTAAAGTAGAATTATTTTAAAAGTGTGCATCCATACTGGTAAGTTATATTTTGAAAGATGTTTAGAAGTATTTGAAAGCAAATGTTAATAATTTTTTAACGGGGACTGGAGTTAAATCATCACGAAGAATAAATTACAATTGTAAAAGTAAATATAACTTACCAGTATGGATGCACACTTTTAAATAATCTACTTTAATTAAACTTAGGAGATAATATAATCAATTATCAATACTGTTTAGGAAATAAATATTATTAAAACTTTGCAGCAATTGCGCAAGTAATAATAACTTGTATTCGCACTAAATGGATTTAAGTTCATACAACATTTGATATACATATTATATATATATTAATATATATTATATATCATATTATTATATATATATAATATACATAAATATGCCATGTCCACACAATTCCGTACCAAATTTCTATTTTCTCAGGCATTGGCATAGACATATACTTTTAACCATAAAAATGTTTTGAATGATTCAAATATTAATGTTTTGGTATTCCTAAATTGGAAATTCAGTTTTGTAAAAATTATGAAATCGAGATTAGGGACCATATACTTAAGAAAATTTTATGCTCATTATAAAAATTAAAATGAAAAAAAAAAAAAAAAAAAAAAAAGAGAGAGAGAGAGAGAGATTCACCTACGATAAAAGTTGCTGAGCTATTTCATTTTAGGCTAGAAATATATAGATCGAGGCATAGGGCATTCTAACTATATGGCGTGCTGAAGATCCTCCCGTGTGGTTTGGTGGTAGGGAAGAAGGGTGGAAGACCTCTGTACAAGCCCCCGGGCGCTCTTCCTGAAAATTAAGATGGAAGTCGAAGTTCAGCCTCCTTGAGGCTCTCGCAATTATTCTTCCATACGCTAATAAATCACAAAAGAATATCACTGACTGGCATTTAAGGGAAAATTGAATATAGAATTATTCTAATTCATTTATTAACCGATCACTGAAGCCAAGCTGGAAATGGCATAATGAGCATAAAATATCCAAAGCTTTGAAATCAAGCGTCTGTCTCCGTTTTTGTTAACGGGAATCAAACGTTTCGATTTTACTTTTCATAAGTATAAAATTTTTCTAAATCATATACATGTAAGGCATTCCGACGGATCATATACATGTACGGCTACATAATTTAAAAAATAGCTTTTTTAAATTTTCAGACGCCTAAACATGAATAATGACATAATTTAAAATATTTTTATATGGTTTATATATGTATACGACAAACATGTGCGAAAATAAGAGCCGTGTGAGGATGTTTGGGCGCACGATACGTATATGGTATTGTAGAAATTTTTTGTAACATAAAAATCTTAAAATTATTAAATTATTTCTGCTCAAAATGCTGCTGAAAAATTAATTAATTATAGACTAAAAAATAATAAATTCTGAGCTAACACGTTAAGAACACGAAAGAAATTAAATTTATGTTTAATATATTTTTATGCACTTCTATTGTTTTCCTAATTTCTTCTAATTTTAAATCATTTAGTTTTAAAAAATTTCATTTACAAAAACTAACATTTTTCATTTAGAAATTTTCGAAATAGCACTTATTTTAAATGATTTTTTTTAAACTATAGCGCAGGTATAATGAATGAAAATATGAATAAAATGTAGTCTCACCAATAGAGAATGGTATAAAATACTCTGATTTCTTTATGCGTAAACCGTCTTCTGTTAAAAATCTTTCTGGGCGAAACTTTTCAGCATCTTCTCCCCAGTATTGCGGGTTATGATGAATTGCCCATAAGTTGGATAAGACAAAAGCATGCTTTGGAATGAAATACCCATGAAATTCCACATCTTCGAGGGTACTATGGAATGAAACAGAGTATAAATTATATACAAATGGTTTAATTTGATTTTCTCGCAATGCCTTTTATAAAACAAGTGGAAAAATTATTGGGTCATTAAGATAAATAAAATTATTTTTAGTCTAAAGTATACTCTCCTACATCTGCTAGTTCGTAATAGTTGCGATGAGATTTTATTCCACCGGGTTTTCAAGACGTCCTCGTCGAGCTCTACAGATGTTTTAGGAAGAGTCTCGTCTCCTAGGCTGCAATTTCCAATTTAAAATTTCTGGAAATGTTATTAACATTAACTTGCATTTACTATCCGATCTCCATATGTTGCATTAATATTCCTAATAATTATTATTAAACTGAACTCATAAAGCAAAATATGTCGAATACGCTGCTTTGTGATTTCCAATTAGCATGAAAACATAACTGTTAAGGCCGAATAGCTCTCTTTCAAAACTTGCACTAAAAATAAGAGCAAGATAAGCAAGTTGATGCAGGTAGTTTATCCCGTTCCCTTCTGAATTTCATTTCAATTAAGAAAACCGCATTTTTTATGAGATGACTCAATATTAATCTTTTCTTTGAAAACCACAGTATTTAGAAAATACAATTCACGGGAATTGAGGTTTCACTTTTAATGAAATTGTTATTGCTTTACTAGTATGTCTTACATTTAGAGACATAGCAGGGCTTCCAAATTTTATGAAACAAAAAAATCCTGATTTGGTTTCTAATCAATTCTATTTCAGTAACATGTCAAGGTAAAAACCTAAAGATTACTATTAATTTCATTTTAAAGTTGTAAAGTCATTAAGTTATTTTGAAGTAGAAGACATAAAAAATGGACAATGTCCTCTCCAGGACTCGAACCTGGACCTCTCGAATACGCGCTGAGTGTGTCATCGTTTCACCACGAAGGCATGCAGAATAAAGGGAGAAAATACTTTATAGAATCCTCCTTTTAAAGGGCTACTAGGGATTAGGGGGCCCAAAAGCCGAATCCTGGTGATGAAGAATCACATCCACCACCTTTTTTAGTTCGGGCACCACTGTAGAGTCATTAGGTTTTTGAGGTGGAAAACGCGAAAAATAAGTAATGCGCTCTCCCGAACTCAAGCCTGGACCTTTTGACTAAGTGCCGAATGTGCTACCGTTACAGCACGAAGGCATGCAGAAAGAAGGGAGAAACTACCTTAAAAAGTAACTAATCCACAATTAAAGCGTTAGAAGTCTTTGAATAATATGTAAAAACTTAGCATATACTTAATATCTAAGATGATATCAAAATTGTTAAGTAAAGAAATGGTAGGGTGGTAAAACTTAAAAAAGTATTTTATTTTATTCTGAAATAATAGGCGTTTTTCCTATTCTTCTGACACCAGTTGTTGCGTTATTTCCTTCCTTCCACGTTCGTACGGGGTTCGTGTAGATTTGGAGTGAATAACGACGACACTTTATGAAGTATCGTAACACACTTTGTTTAGCCAATATTAATCAAGACAGCTCCAATAACACTTTTTACAGTCGTCGAAGATCTACTATAAACACGCTGGAACAATCAGCGGCACAGCACTGTAAAGCAATAATGGTGGAGATAGTTTCCTGCAAAGCACCAGAGTACAGCTTCCGACTCTGTTTGGTCGTTCTCGGAACTCCACGTACTCTCGAGACTCTCCACGTGATGCACTCGACGATACACAAAAGTACAGCTTTCGACTCAGCACAGTCTAAGACAAAACTCAACGATGCCTTAATTCGTGATGCACTAAAAGACTCTTTCGATGCACTCAACATCCAAATCGGCACTAGACTTCGAGACACTCGCTCAATGACTATCAGCTCGCTAGACAAGGCACACACACTCTTGATGAGAGACACACTCTAACTGACTGCGGACCAGCAGGGTTTATATAGCTTTCGGCTTGTGTTCGAGAACATTCTGGGCTAAACCGGTAAGAATTCGTTCCAGAAGGTTCTCCAACCGTCCATGGTATATCGCCAATTTTGTCGCTAAATATCGCCAAATGGGCGATTTCTCGCCAAATGTGGCAACCCTGCTCTCCCTGCTATTTTATGCAACCATAAAACTGCTTTACGGGGAAGCCATCTTGCCGCCCCTGTACATTTCGTAACAATATTAAGGTACTATTTTCTGTGCTTTCAGATTGCAAAGAATGATATATCATTATAAAAATTGAAATTGGCTTGCGTATTATCCTTTTCTGATAATTATTACATACTTCATAATAACGTTTACGAAAACTGATAGATAAACGGATAAGTAAACTGCTGCTAAGGATATATTAATATTTTGGAAACTTTGTATCCATGTAGTGAACCATATTAGCAAACACTGTCTGACGCAACAGATCATAAAGCAAAAACATTAGGCGATGCATAGTGTAGCACTGAACGGATAAAATACCAAATTATGTTGTAAGAAATTATCTGCAATATGTTATTAATTAATGCCAGAAATTCATATCTCTTTCGAGAATATGGAACTAAAGTACTCACTTGACGGCAAGTAATAACCCATATGTTCTGAATTACGGAAAGGTTGGGAATCGTACTGCCGAAGGAAACATCTCAACACTTTATGAATTGTATGCTAAAGCTGTTGAAGACTTTATAATTCTTATAAGTAGAGTGTATTTATGCTCAGAAAATATATAAAATAATGTGCCATAGCAGTTCATTTACATATTGGAGTGCCATCATAATGTCCATCATACATATGAGAAAATCGGCTGTTGATACTAACCAAATCTCAAGCATGAAACTGCGCTGATATATTGCGCTTCTTAACTCACATATGGCGTTGGGTTCATTCTGATAACTGCATCGGTGCAGACTCTTAGTCGAAAGTTGAATACGACATCTTTTGTGGATAAGGAGTTCCCATGGCATGACATGGGATTCGCAGTAGGTTGGAGCGAAACAATAAAAGTAGTGAAACTAAAACGCATTACTCCTCAAAAGTTGTGGGCTAAAAATATATCACTCGTGAATTTTTAAATTTTTTCTACTTTCATCTTCATTCCCAGCAAGAGAATCTCAATTTTGCAATAGTAAGCAAAATACGAAATTTTCAAAAATTGCTTATGTAAACGAACGGCTCCTTAAAAGTTGTGTATTGGCTTTCTTATTACTCATGAATTTTTCAAAATTTTCCTGATTCATTTTCACTCTTCAGAAAAGTCTTGAAATTTTCGATTTTTACAAAAATTCCCATATTATAACAAAATATTTTAAAATGTTCTTTTTCACAGTAACACTGCAGATGTACAACAGTAAATCTTCGACTTGAAACAAAGTGAAATTCCCTTTACTGCTAATCCATGAGACCTTAGTTTTAATATATTGCCCACACGAGAAGATGTATTACAACGTTGGATTCAGCTACAGAAGGATGTTCTGAACAGTAAAAAACAAAAGTCGGTGGAGTTTACGAAGATGTTTTTTAAGGAATTTTGGTAAGGCTTCAGTCCCAGCTCCACATCGTGTAAGAATAAATGACTTGATAAAGAGTGAGCATGAGAAAAAAGAGAATCTTTTGAAGCAGAAAACAACAGCGAATTTTAAAGTTCCATGTAGAAGCAGAAAAGAAACAGCCACGTTTAAAACTTTCAGAGAATAAGAGAATAACTCTGTTTGAAATTGCTACTTAAAAATGCACTGACTATGAATATTATACATAGTTGTGAGAAAGGACGGAGAGTCCCTGCGAGAGAGCGAATTTTCCTAAACATAACTCTGAGATAAATAGCCAATGGTTCCACTGATTTCCGTATTACTCAGCGGCTTAACTAGAAAACTGGAAAAAAACTAGCTTTGGGTAGGGAAAGCTCGAACTGCCACATTTCAAGAAAGCAAACAAGGTAGATACGTGTTCGCTGAAGATGTGATATTCTTGCCAATCTTGAACAATGTACACTTTACAAATTATTAACATCAGTATTATCAATAAAGACGTCAATTTTCTACGACTTCTGTAGAGTCCTAAAGCTAACACCCTTTTCATCGTCTAGTACATTCCTATTTGATGACATTTATTTTTAAGTTATTGTTATTATTTAAGTCTCTATATAAAAATATATTTTTGAAATTCATTTCTTCAAAGCAATTTCTAATAATAGATTTGCAATCCTATAAAAGGTCGCGTTCTAGGACCTAAATTTTCACTTCCAGTTTTTCTTGCTTCATAAAATCTTCAATATCTTTTCTTTCAATTAACGCAAAGATGGAAGAAAAAGTTATGTTGCAAGACAAAAAATACCCTACATGAAATAAAGCAATAAAATGAAAATATACTTTTTCACTAAAATTGGTCAGTTCAGCGTGTACGGTTGCTTTAAAGACCTTCTTGTGTCAGGTTTTATACCGAAATTTAGGCAAGCAAGCACGCGGAGTCACACAATAAGATTGCAAAAGGTTGTTTCATTAATAGTTTTAAAGTTAATGGTAAAAATTAATATTGTGATTGATGGTAGTAGTAAGATGGTTAGATGGAATTATAGAGTCATTTCTTCAAACCAGAACTAAACAGTTATTTGCACATTCTTCCATTCATCAAGCCGAATCTATTTTCAAAACCTTAATAATCAGTACTATTTGATTACATTACGCAATTATGATTATACCTTACAGGAACATCTCTTTTTCTACATTAACTGTTCTTCATACTCCTCTGGAATGACTGCTCATATATTTGAAAACAAAAGGAAAAGAACTAAATCAAACTTAATATTAGACTTGCTTAAAACAAATAAATATGCTTCTTTTCCTTGCGAATATCAGAAATTATTGGACTTTAGATTGTGTCAGGTTTAATAATTATTTAAGATTGTGTCAGGTTCAATAATTTGTTTAAACAGTTAAAGAATGTAGGTTTTAAGTTAAAAATTGTAGGCTTTAAGAATATACTTACTATCTTAGAATATTTAAGGGTATGATAGTTCTCCAACGCATGAGTTCCATAATGGTGGCTTCGATGTAAGGCAATTTCTTTCTATCTCTCCAAGCGGGCAAGGTACCTCGAGGAATAACTTTATCAATTTCAAACTGAATTTTTTCCTGTACGTCTGGGTAGGCTGCCATAGTTAACATTAGCCAATCTAATGTTAAACGAACAGTTTCACTTCCAGCACTTAGAAGCCCTACAGCAGTATCCTCAAGAACTGGCTCTGTTTTGAAAAACATTGTTCATTAGAATGATTAAAAAATAATAAATATTATTTTTGACAACAATTGTTTCGTCACAAAAGAAATTTTGAGACTTAAGGCGAAAGTTAAAATTTATAGTAATGAGCGTTCTTAAGTGATGATCTAATAGTCTCTTATTCAATTGTATTTATTTAATTGCTTTAATAAACTGCTATACAGAAGAAATGAGAAGCCTAAAATTGTATAAATAATTTTTTAAATGAATATATATCACAAAATTTAAAAGAAATAAAAATTATATGTGACTGACAATTATAATGTTTGTAAGACAACTAAACAATTAATACTAAGATTAAATTAAAAAAAAAGTTAATTAAAAAATGAAGAGGAAAATATGTCGTTTATCTTCAATTTACTTTACATTTCATTACAAATAACATCTTATAATAGAAAAAGTGAATATGTATACAGTGGACTCAATGTTCACGTTTACAGACTATTAAATGCTGTATCTTATTTTACTCTTCGCAATTCTAATTATATTTGGGATGTAAATTGAGGAAAATGCCCGGATACCTTTGCTGAAAAATTTGTTACTGCTTGGAGACGTAAAAATGTTTCCAAATTTTTGCTTAATTTTTCCCCCTCTTCTGGCATGTTTATGCACAAAGTTTAAAAAAATTTTCCCGAACTGTTAACACACAAATATATTATTTCAGCATCTGAAAACATTTGAAAATATCAAAAAAGGTTTAATTTAATTATTCTTTGTTTTGAATCTGTGGATGACAACGACTTGTTAATCAATTTAAAATGGAATCTTAAGTTTTAAGACTTTTATTTGGGAAAACACGTAAGATGTGATTTTTATATATTTAAAATCGTGAATTTCAAATTTCCGAAAACACAATCCATATAAGCCTTACTTTTATCATCAAATTTTATCTTTCGCGTTATATTAACTGTTTTGATATTAATTTAAGCTGTTACGAGATAAATAAGCTTTAAGGCATGAATTGTCTATTTTAGTCATTATTCGGTTTAGTTATTTTCGGCTTAAAAGGGCATTAGCCCAAAACAGCTATTAGTCTCAAAACGATATTTTGCATCGAATCACTGTAAACCGTTGTATCCATGGAGGTTAGAATCTATTTTAACCTTCATGGTTCACTTTTCAAATTAAAGCCACCAAATATCGCCTTGTGTCATATTTAATGAAATTAAATAATGAAGAATCTGCATGAATGTATGCATGTTTCTCGTACTGCGAAAACACAAAGATACCTAGAGCTGTCAGATCTTGAATAACGTAGTTCTCAACCAGAATATGGGCACCTGAAAGCCCGAATCTTGAATTTCGGATTTATTTTATAGAAATAAAGAAAATAACTTATAAAATAAGAAAATTAAAATAAATTGACATTTAGATTTTAAACCACTACAGACGTACTCAACTGATCCATGTTTATAATTGCAAGTAATGTTTTCCAAAATGAGTGTAATTAAAAATAGTGAGAGAGGTAATTAAGCAGTCCTCGTGCTCGAAGAGTTAACATCAATACTGAACAGTAAAAAAGGTTTAGTTCTTTCCAGGTGCTGGACGAGTTAACATCAGTATTAACATATCAAAAAAAATTATTCAACACAGATCATTGGAGACTGAAAACAAGGGCTGAAGGTTGGATAGGACACAGGTACGTTGACTGGTCATTTTAAATTTAAAGCATTATTTGATCCGTTATAGAACTGTGGGTTTGATTAGAGAATTGGGGCTTAATTTAACTGTATAGCATTTAAGTTCTAAAGCGCATTTTATATATTTCTAGTGTATAGACGATTTATTTTTCTTAAATTAATTGCATATTAACAAATGTTTTTAAATTCATGATTTAATAATAAATTAGACTTCATTTCAAATTAAGTTCATGATATGTGTTTGCGGCCCGTAAATAAGGACTTTTTCCCATGAACCTGGAATTTCATTTTTTTGAGGATTCACGTTTATCTTTTTGGCTTGTTATTTTTTAATGCATTGGAAATGTGATAATTCCTCAAAAGAAGAGACAGATTTAGCCGACAACTATCTAAAAAAATTAATTTAAATATCAGTAGCTTAAAATATTTTTACTTAAAAATTAGGCGAAGTTTAATTTGCGTGAATAAATAAATAGAAAACATTTAAATCACAAGCTAAATACCTGTATAAATAATTATCCGTCATAAAAAATTTGCTCATAACTATAGCTAAACGAGAAGATAGTCATTTATATATCATTTAAAAAAAGGTGTTGTAGAAAGGGAAATAATTGCTTTTATTTACTTGCAATTTAATTACTTTTTAAGTTGACTCAAGTATTTCTAATTTTATTATTTTTTGTTTATTTATTTTTTAAATCCCGTTAATTTATTTAGAACTAAAATTTCTTTTTTGAAACTATAAATTATTACAAAGAGCTTGATAATATTATGAAGATTAGTAATATCATTTCATACCACTTAATGAGCTGTAATGTATATCGTTACTACACACTTCCAGTGTGTGAGTAACGATAAATATAATCATGTGTAAAGTAACGTGAGTAGTTTTCCTGAAAGTATTCAAGGTCATAAACGCCTTCTACTCTATTTACGTAGTTGCTAAATTTCTGGATTTTTTATATCAAAAGACCTTATGCATCTAACAAAAATTATTGAAATATCTAAAACATCTAACCAAAAAAATAAAACGTGACTATAGACATTTGAGTGTGACTGCAGAAACTGCCGTACCTCATTACAATAAAGATAATTCCAAATCGCACTGAAATTTCAAAAAAAAAAAGCTTTCCTATTGATATACGTACAAAGACTATTTGTTGTGTTACGCGAAAGCAAATTTTCTCAGATATTATGCACATCATTCAATTCTGATTGCACAAATGCTTAGCTGAAATGTATGGCTTTACAGTGTGTTAGAGTTTATAAGATTTAAAAAAAAAAACGCATTTTACAAAACGGCTTTACTATCCACAGAGTCTCTGTCACTAACTTTGAAAATTTGCCGACAATTTGGAAGCCTATATAAAGAATATTTTCTTTCACGATAACAACATTTCCTTTCAGAAAGACGATGTTTTTGCATTCTTCTTGAGTGGTAATTATACAGTTAAAGAATACTCAGATGATTTAAGATTCTCGAGTAATTTTCATTGCATTTGCATTTTTAATATATTTTTTAGTTCTACCAATATATCTTATTACTGTTATAAAGGCAAAATAAGGATGAATGCGTTATTGAAAAGATGCATGTTGTTACATATTGTACTTTCTGTGTAAATGCAATTATAAGGCATATTACTCATAAGAAAGTCTATTCACTTTGAATTCTTTAGCTGTAAGTAAATCCTGAATAATGGTAAATACGCTGGGAGTTTTAACTTTATAATAAACTGAGGAGCATAAAATCTAGCGTCAAGTATTAGGAGACTACTAGAAACTGTAATCCTTTTATCAAGAAGTCCTTTGAAGAACTCGTCTTAGAAGCTGTTACTCTAGAGTTAAGCAAAATTACCTTCTAAAAGGTGGAAGCTGATTTGCTCAAAGTGTAAGGCTTTTTTATCGGTGTTTTATATTTCAACAGAATGCTCAAATCTTAAGACACTTCGTCTAAAGTATTTTAAAAACGTGACTTATCTCATGACCTTATAATCGGAAAAGAGGTTAGAGTTGTTTTATTTCAGCATCTAAGAAAGACTAACTTTTAATAGATCATCTGATCTGTTTTAACGTTGTTTAACGTTACTATGTGTTTTAATATATTTCATGTTTTGCTAGCGATTTGATTGTGGCGTTGGGAGCTTTTAGCCGTAAAGCTTATTTCCACCGGCTTCAACGAGTCAGATCCTTCCTGCGTGTAAAATTATCCTGTGAGCGTTAGGCTAATTTAATTGCATTTTTAACAACTTTTATTTGCAATGTTACCTGTTTGAGTTAAGCCAGAAGGTTTGGCTTTATGTAAGCCCAAATGGGGCCATCTGTACAATTATGTTGGATTGAATAAAGGGTCCTTTAAAACCTTCTTCTGACTTTTCTGTTGTATTAAGACCTGAGGATAATTCCTCATACAAACTTTTTAGAGCTTATTAGTTTATGCTCTCTAACAGGGCGAGACTTTATAAGTATATTATTTAATTGCTTTTAAAATTTTGATCTTGTTTTAAAAAAGTGAAATATATTTGACATATATGAGCATTATGGACAGTTTAGGTTCTGTGCCAATAAATTCACGAGCCAATTACCATCGCTATTTAAATCTTAGGTGTTTTATTTAAAGTGTATTTAACCTGTTTGAATTTGCTATCCTTAATGCCCGTTTGTTATCATGAGTTAACAAATGTGAATAGAATATACGTTACCGCTAAAGTGTGAAAGTCGTTAATAGGCACATTATCTAGCTAATCTGCAGATTAACTGATTTGCTCCATTAAAGCGCGGAATCAAGAGTTCTCCGGATTTTACCTAGGTAATGTACACATTAACGGCTTTCGTATCGTTTTAAAGTTCAAAACCTTGCTTCTCTCATTTCCTTTCCCTCTCCTTCAACTTTGCACATTATCTACTAGGTAGTCTCTAAACTGCCCGTTGCCTACTAGGCGCTCGTTAAATTTAAAATAAGTATTTTGCTGGAGCAACAGCAACGTTTCTGTACGCTTAAATTAACATAATGCTATTTATTTATTTTTCGATATCTAAAAAGTCAAATTAATACAATCAAGCAGTCAACAAATGAGTTGATAGAATATATCATCAGTCAATTAAAAAACTGTAATACAAAGAATAAAACGGTTTAAAATTTTATTACAATTAAGGAAATGAATTTTCAAAACGAATGATAAAATTATGCTTACTTATTAGTGCAATCTAAAGATTGGTGACACTTTAAATTACATAAAAACTGGATTTTGTGATAAGCACACCTATTTGTGGTACATTTACATTTGCAAGAACATTTTCTGAAACGTCGCACGATCAACAATTTAAAACTGTAATTGGCGGCTGCTTTAAGTGTACAGAAATGTTGCTATTGTTCTAGCAATATTTTATTTTTTACTAGTATGTAATGTCTAGTATGTAATTTACTAATACATTATCTAGGTAATTTGAGAAATAAAACAATATTTCGCACTTTAACGGATCACTCACGTTAATCTGCAGATCAGGTAGATAATATGCAGAATAACTGATTTCCACGCTTTAGCGGTAACATATATATATTTTTACTCAATAATTTAATCTCTTTTACACATACATCTAAGTAGATAAAAATAATATTAAAGCCCACTCACTACAAAATGCTGAATCATTCCTTTTATGAATTTCTACTAAGTATCCATCAATAAAGTCCCGAATATTAGTTTCGTTCAATGTTTCTTCGTGTTCTTTTATTTGTATACTGTATAAAAAAGAACATTTTCTGTGATTATGAGTCTGAAATATAATTTAAAATGCTTTTATATTATATACTATATTTAATTTACTTAACGCAGATATTTCATTATATTTCACACGCAATATAAATCAGTTACAAATGTCAAAAACCCTTTAAGATTGTGCATTATAATACTATATTCTTCTAAGGAACGATTATCAAAATTTGTAAACTCAATTCTGATTTCCAAATTGCACTTTCTGTTTTTTGCTTACGATACTAACCTGGTGTTATGCAAATTTGAGTGCGGCTTAAAAAGATTTATTGAAATTATCAAAAATTTAAAAAGAAATATTATTTAAATCTATTATAAATTACATTTATAAGTTTTTAAAATAGGTATAAAAGTTGCTAGCTACCTTACATATTCCTTCATACTGTCATATACTCTGAAAAGGCCGCCCACATCTCCAACGTGCAGAAATTTCATCACCTTTACCACCCAAGGATAGAATAGTAGCCAAGATGTTTGACTGTATAGTTTGTTGGCTTCCTGTAAACAGCTGTTTAACATAACTCGCTTTGGATCATCATATTTCAAGCGCTTCCCAAATAGTAAAGCGGCAATATTACTGGATGCACTTGAAGTTAAGTTGGATCCTACTTCTGTCGGCTTTCCAGCAGTCTTCTCAAAATATTCCATTAGATCAGTGATTTCTTCCTGTTGATATATAAGAAAGAAAAAGAACGTTAGATTTATCCTCAAAAATAACTTGAGAATCACAAAGTTGACTTATTAAATCCTTGTTTATTTGCTGTTTATTGCACTATTGTTATAAGTGATAATGTACAAGATGTAGAGTCATTAGGTTATGTTGAAACTTTAGACGTGAAAAATATGCAATGCTCTCACCGGGACTCGAGCCTGGATCTCTCGGTACGCGTCGAGTATGCTTCCAATTATACCACTAAGATATGCTGTAAGTAGAGATAAAATACCTTATACCCTTTTGAAAGGGTGACTGGAGATGAGGGGACACAATCGTCAAATCCTGGCGATGACCAATTATCGTCCACCACCTTTTAGTTTGGGCGTTACTGTAGAGTCATTAGGTTCTTTTGAAGCAGGAAATATAAAAAAGGAGCAGCGCCCTCGCCGGGACTTGAACCCTGGACCTCTCGAATACGCGCCGAATGTGCTACCGTTCCACCACGTTGGCATGCGGAAAGGAGAGAGAAAGCACTTTATAAAAAGATCAAATTTCTAAATTACCAATTCAACCGATTTCGGAACTAAAGTTACTTTAAATTTAAAATTCCGAATTTTTTTTTAAACTTTAAAACATATATATAGTCGGAAACGTTACATGCTTTGATGAAAATAAAGCTAAAATATATCTAAAGTTTAAAAGGAGAAATTTCTGGCATGATAAGGGGTCAAAAAGATTAAGACATGAAATTTCGCACATGAAACAGTCAGATGTAAATAAATCTAAAATAATATATAGGCGGCTCTCAATCTATGATTGTTCAGCTTAAAATGTTTTGGCTTTACGATGATGCAAAGGCAGTAACGGATCAGAAACGGATTCGAATTCTGATTTCTCAACTAACAGTATGCTATGTAATACCAAGAATTCTTGATGCTCTCTGAAATATATATAGCGTTAAGAAGATTAGATGACTAAATATATCTTCAATTTATTCGTTGATGCATGGTTCCAGTTTAACAGTGAACTAGAAAAGATGGATTTTCAGACTGAGACAACTTTTGTCCCTAACACGAAATATCTTTAAGTAAATATGTACGGAACCTACTTTCTACATCTACTTTAAAAAAAAAACAAGTGCCAATGAGAAAGAATTCCACAATTTAGTTGACCCTTATCTCCCCAAGAAAGCTTTAGGAGATTAAAAACAACATGAGAGATTTTTAATCAAAATCTGTAAGGTTCTTATTTAAATCATGCTGAAGACAGCTACACATATGATAAGCTTTTGAAAGCAAATTTCTAAATTTAACTTTTATTTCAGAGATACACGCATATGTAAGTATGTTTCATTTTCCTACTTATAAAAATGCTAAAATTTGAGCATTTTTATAAATAGGACACTTTGAATTACATAACAACTGGATTTTGTGATAAGCACACCTATTTGTGGTACATATTTCGGGTATCACATTTCAATGGAAATATCTATTTTGACCACTCTCGAATTCATTTGGAAGATTTTTTGCATGGCGTCTGTACGTTGTAAATTGGGATCGTTTAGTTTCTCAAAAATATGTGTATGCTTTTATAGTCATAATTCATTTTAAAGAAAAGCAGCAAGATCAGATTTTTGTTCGGTTAAAACTATAATAATTTTGTCTTTTAAAAATAATAATCTTCTTAAACTTTGCCCCCTTGAGATCTTATTTCTGCGGATAATAATAAGTTTTTTATTCATATTCCATATCCTTACATAGATTTCAAAATAAATGCCTGCAAGTTTATACCTTTGACAGCATCCTGAAGCCACCTTTAAATCCCGTTGCTAATTTGTTTGCCGAAAGGGCCTCTCAATGGATCGGACGGTGTGTAAAAGCTATATGGTCATTACCAGCAGCTTTAATTTTAATAAATAATTTAAAATCAATATTTTCGGCCACAGTCGCTTTTGCATTGTTTGTGAATATTCCAAAGCAAATTTGCCATTCTAAATCTTCGATTTTAAAAATGGCCAATTTTAGTACGTACGTCTTCTCGTCTTTCAAAAGGACGACAGATATCAATTCTTCATCGATGCTTTCTTTATAAATGTACCTGACATATACTAACAACTGAGCTATTTCATAAGTATTCATTTAATGAATTGAAAATGTGCGCTTTTTTTAATTTAATAATAAGCTTCTTGCATTGATCTTTGCTAATTTTAGAAGTTCTGTTTATAACGGTGTAGTTTGACAAAGGAATTTTCTGAATTTCATCACCACATTTATCATTTTAATAATAGCAGATAATAAGCAATCGGATATAAAACTTCGTATAAATATATTTCGCTAACAATCATATGAATTTTTCAAAATATTGGTTTATTTATTTGAAGATTATAACAGTCGCTCCAAATATTTTCTTAGTTTATTGACCTACGACTGATACTTGGTTTCAAGACTCTTTTTTAATTTTGATGGTTTCATACGCTCTATAGCCAAACGATTATTGCAAATTAACAAAGAAGTTATTCATGGCCATTACAATTGTTTAAAATAAAGCGAAATTGAAGAAGGGTCTTATTAGATTTTCTTTTTCGCGTGTTAGATACCGTTTTCATAATCTATCATAACAGTCCTTCAAATAAATGCCATCTTTAGTTAAGAAAATCAGTAAAATACAGTAATATATTATTCTTGCGAAGCACACTTGTTGCGATGAAAGAATGTAAGGATTATTTTAATTTTATTAACAGTTTTTTAAATTTTAAGGTAAAGTTTCTTTCCTGTACAATTTTTAACTTACTACTTCCGGAATGCTTAATGAGGAGGAGCGGTATTTAAACCGCGAAGTCTACGAGAGAATCCGAGTTTCTGATTTGCTAGCGTCTCCCTTTTGGCTACTCTCTCTCTCAAAGCTGTTATTACGCTCGGCCGTACTCAGGCCCTTAATAAGCTTCGTAGTCAAATAGTTAAGGGGCCAACTCGATTAGAATCTTGATAGCTTCGGCTATATCTCTTTAGTTAATCTTAGTTTCAGTTTATTTCTTAGTCCCTTATGTTCAAGCCCAAGTGTCGGCTTTTATTGTACACTCCAAGACGAAGTTTTGTTAAATCTTATTGGAATAATGTAGGGTTAGTTACCCTTCCATCTTGTTGTTTCTTGTTACACGACTTAAGCAATTATTCGCTAACTAGTTCTTAAGATTCATCACTTTCTACAGTAACTGAGAAATGCACTAGTGAGAATCTTACAAGAAAAATAGCAGACTATATTGGAAAAGCATTATCACCACACGAGTCGCAGAGGTGACGTCCGGACGTTATACGTTGGCATTTGGGGTATATTTTGATTTTGAAATAACTTGTACGCTAAACTTTCAGTGCTACACCGCTACTATGATGCGCTTGGTGTATTTATTAATGTGTAAATGTAATTTACAGCTCATCGAGTATTACGATTGTATAGTTTGCATGAAGCAGAAAATGCAATGTATTAAATTAAAGATAATGAAGAAGTTGTGATTATTTTTAACTCATGTGTCTGAATTAAATTTTCGCGACTTTAACTTTTCGCTTTGCGATTCCATTTAGGGTCACAGTTTAAGAAAAACTGGATTAGAGTATCAAATTACTTTGATCAGGTTTTCCATACGAGATTTTCCAAAGTTTAAACCTTTAAGCGCGTGCAGCATAAATTTCCTCTGCTTCTTCCAAGGTAGACCATTAAATGCATTGGTGTCTGCAAGGAGAAAAAAGTGTTAAAACCTTTAAAAACTCGGCATATTATTGCTATTCTACTAGTTTAGATTTGGCAAGACTAAAACATTTTATAAAACCTTTCGCAACACAAAAAATTAATTTTGCACATACATAAAATAAAATTGTACATACACAACATAAAATTGTACATACACAAAACATAAAAATTAATTTTGTATCTATCATAAAAACGCAAAATTTCAGAGATAAAAGACAGTAAAAGGTATATAAGTAGAATACGCAGATGTTTTACGAGCTCTCCGTAATATATGTTGTGATTTTAAAAGATACTTTCTTCTTTCACAGTTAGTAGCTTAAATGCCTAGGTTTTCAAATCCGTATTTAGGACGACATAGCCAATACAAAATTCAGGTAATTCTTTCCTCTGTGTTCCAAATGTGTACATATTTTAATTGAAGTAAAGGAATTTTACTTTTCTTTTCACATTATTTTATTTCAATAAAGGCTAAAAGAAAAACTTATCTTTGCTTGACACTGGTTAACAACAACAACTAAAAAACAAAAACAAAAACAAAACAAAAACAAAAACCACCTCTTCTGAATTTAAGAGAAGAGGGAAAGAATATTTTTGTCATTTCTTCAAGAAACAAGAATATTCTACCATTTAGGCAGATATTTTTCTCTTCTGTAAAAAGACAGGTTAAGAAGTATTTTTACTTTCATTGAACAAAATACAAAGCGCATATTATGTTCACTTTTATAATGCAAAAATAATTTTGAAAAATTTATAAAAAAATACTTAAAAATACAAATTTTAAAAATAAATCATAAAAAATAGGCGAATTATATTTGAATTAAGACTAAATTTTGAGTTCTGGAAGAAAGAATCAAGTAAGTTTAATACAAAAACGAGATATTAATATATCAAATTCAATTAACATAGAGGAGCTAAACTTTTGAGAGCTGATGTTTTAAAAACTACTCTTGCGATTTTTACAAAACTTGGCAGTTTAGCATAATTTTAGCCGCAGAATTGAAATATGGAAAAACGTTGGCATGTCATTTCAGAAAAAGTCCAATTTTGTGTCGAAATAACTATATTAGAACAGCGTTATATATAAATCTAATACACATCCTAAGTCGTGCTTTCGAGGCAGGAAAAATGCAGTTTGGATTTCGTCAATCGGTTTAGTAGAACGGAAGATAAAGAACTGTCCTTTTCTTTCCCCGCAGTGTACATCTTCTTTATAAACATGAAATTGCTAAAAGAGTTTATGTCTGTAAAATTTAACTCAAAACACATTGTTTCCATGCAAACTAAAGAAGGAAATTGCTTTTTATTTGCATAAACACACAAATACTTTTCTTTTGAACTACTAAATAAAATAAAAAAGCAAAATTTTAATTACATATGTGCAAGTCTAATAATAATCTAATGATCTCGTTTCCATTTTTTGCTGTAGAAAACTGAGATAAAGTAAAAAGAGATACTACATTTTGCGCAAAAACTTGCAAGGCTATTTATATTTAACAAAAATTAAATTAATATATTATTTTTATCCATGTCAAATTGTAAATAAAATAATCTATGTAGTGTATATTTCTAAATTTTAACTTAATGTCTTAATTTAATTTGAATATATATTTTTATAATATTCTAAAGAACATTAAAAATGCATTTCTATTGACATTAAAAATGCATTTCTATTAACTTTAAAAATATAAAATTAAAAATCTAAATAGAACATTAAAAATACATAAAATTTCTCCAACGTAATATTTTTATTGTTTAAATGAAATGAATAGAAAAAAAAAGTAAATGAAAATAAATTAACAGTAAGCTAAATTTTACTGGTGCTAGGAAAAAATAATAAGCAAACTGAATGACTGGTATTCTGGCTTTCGAAATTCAGACAACGGGTATTTTATTTATGTCATCTTTTACAAAGTTTTAGCAGTTTAATAAAAATTTAAGGTACTTCATATACTGTAGAAATTAAAATTTTGAACAAAAGCTCAATTTCCATATCATTAATTTACACTACCGTGAAAAACAGAAACATGGACATAATTTTGCAGCAGATAACCATGAAATTGAAAAATGGAGCACATAGAAATTAGCAGAATGTTCACTAAAAAGATTATTCTTATTCAAATACTGAAAATAAGACTTTACAGGGCATGCAAGAGTACTTGCTAAAGCCTAAATTAAACGCACCTAGAACATGACAATAAGAGAAAGGAAAATGAAGGATTGATTAGAAAGGTTCGTTGTACGTGTAACATGATTAAAAGAAACAATGTGGCCAACTTATAGAAAAATTATCAGTAAACTTGAGAAGAGGTATAACATCGCCAAAATAATTCAAGAGTTTGTCATCGACCGCAGTTTCTTTTCATGTACTCACAAAACCGTACAAAACACCGTCATCTCTTTGATAAAGGCTGATGGTGATCGGACAAGAACTACGATTTGAGTGAACTCCAGTCCTTCTACAGGCGGAATGAAACCACACCAGTTAGCCAGTATTTGCGTACCGCAGTAAGATGTCAAGTGTTGTTGTTAAAAAATTTTATCAACTTTGTACTATTAAAATTTTTTGATCATTAAATAGATAAGTGAAAGTTCACTTACCTTCTAAATAGGGCTGCCCTGAACTGCCTGCTTTTCCTTCTTCTCGGTATCTGTCTCTATGATGAACTTCGATTTACTGCGCAACACAGCTATAAACTTTTTAAGAAATTTTAATTCATATGAAAGATATCTACAAAATATTTACAAGTTATAATGATTACAAGCACAATTTATACGGAACGGTCTATCGTTATACATCTGTTAGACGCGTCAGCCGTTCAACTGCCTACTTTTAGTCTCTTTCGCCAGAGGGCGTCCGTGGAAGTCCGTGGAAGTAAAGTTCTAGTAAGCAAACGCGACACTCCCACCTTGAGGTCCAGTATCAACAGAGGATGGACCTCAACTGACCTGTAGTTCAAGTCTTTTGAGATTTCATCATATGTCGAGTTCTGTACCTCACTAGCATATCCGACTCAGGTGAAAAGTTGAGTTCAAGAGGTATGAGGTTCTTAGTAGGTCTTATAATCTCCCCTTGTGCAGTTTTCAGTTTCACTAATCTAATGTGTCCGTCGCGGGATGGAAAAATTTCCACGATTCTAGCTAAGGGCCAGTTTATCCTTTTTCCGTTGTTGGACACAATTACAAGATCACCAACTTTTACAGAAGATGGTTCGCGGATAAATTTTGAGCTTTGTTTTAGTTGCCCTAAATATTCTGATCGAAATCTTTTTCGTAAATCTTTTCTCAATTTGGCTCTGTAAAGGTATCTTTTATTGATGGATTTAGAATCCAAAAGATCTAATTCAAGAACTCCAGTCTCTGGAATTTCTGTTAGAAACATTGCTGGGGTGAGAGCTCTTAAATCCTTTACGTCTTCTGACAAATACGTGAGAGGACGGTTGTTCATAATGCTCTCGCAATCACAAATGATTGTCAACAATTCTTCGTAGTTCAGAGAAGATTTTCCTAGTACCTTTCGAAGAATTCTCTTTAGTACTCCAATTAATCTTTCCCACCACCCTCCCCACCATGGCGAGGAAGGGGGAATAAATTTCCATTCAATTTTCTTAACTGTTGCGTTTTCTAAGATAGAATTCCAATCTATGGTCTTAAACAAATTATTTGATCCAACAAAATTGGTTCCATTGTCAGAGTATACAGTGACAGGTCTACCCCTTCGAGCGATGAATCGCCTGAACGCGTGCAGGAAACTTTCGGTTGATAGAGATGAGACTAGCTCTAAGTGAACTGCTCTATATATTGCGCAAGTAAAAATGACGATCCATGTTTTTTGGCCTCCTTTTAAAATTAAGGGACCCGTCAGATCAACACCAATAATCTCAAAAATTAAAGCATCTCTTATTCTGTCTTCAGGTAGTGGCGCTTGAGGAATCTTATATGAATCAGAGTCGAACCTTCGACATCGTACACAGTTTTGGATAACCTTGCGTACGATCTTCCTACTCTTTATGATCCAATATTTTTCACGCAAAGCGCACATAACGAATTGTACTCCAGCGTGACTTAGCCTTTCATGTTCAGATTTGATCAGCTTTAAGACTAATGGATGTTCTGAGGGAAGTAAAACTGGGTAACGAAAGTCAGCATCATCGTCTCTCTGAAAGATACGTGTTTTCACTTTTATAAGGCCATTGGAGTCCATGATAGGTTCTAGAGCACGTATTCTTTTATCTTTCAATCCTTCGAAAGATTCTCGTTGGATCAGTCGGAAAACCACTGTTTCAGCTCCTTTTAGTTCTTCGACTGAAATTCTCCCATGAGTTCTTTCAGATGGGGGTGTTGTAGCATTTTTAACGAATCTAAAGATCCAAGATACGACCTTTATGATCTTTTCGAATTTTGAAATATTGTCAAAAAGGTTAAATTTATCTGTATTCGTGTTATTGCTGGCTGAAACCACAGTTCGTTTTCTCTCTCCATTTACTATATCGAAGTCAGGATGTTCTCCATCTGCAATAGGCCACTCTTCTGGAGGTCGATAAATCCAATCTGGTCCTTTCCACCATTCGGATTTCCTCAATTCTTTTGCAGAGCAACCGCGTGATGGCAAATCCGAAGGATTAAACTTTCCGGGAATGTGATGCCAGTGATCTGGGTTACTCAGTTTTCGAATCTCATTTACTCGATTGGCTATAAAAGTGGACCAATTTTCTTTCTGTTTTATCCAAAAGAGAGCATTTGTGGAATCCGTCCAGTAAAAAACTGGAACCTCTTTTAGTTTCAAGTCTTCTCTTATTGTATGAGAGAGCCTGGCTCCAATAGTGCAAGCGAGTATCTCTAGTCGAGGTATGGTGAGTGCTTTTAGGGGAGCAACTCTCGCTTTAGATTGTATCAATTGACAAGTGACTCCACTCTCACCGCTGTGTCTAAGGAAAATGCAGGTCGCATACGCGTCCTTGCTTGCGTCCGAAAATACATGCAGAGTGGTACTTTCGTCTATTTTGGGAAGCAATCTAGGAATTTTGATGTCTTTCAAATATTTTAACTGAGATGACCATGTGAAAAATTTCCTTGCTAGATCATTCGGCAGATTAGTATCCCAGTTAATTTTCTGTTTCCAGCACTCTTGCAGAATCAGTTTAGGCATGAGAGTAAACTGGACTAGTAAACCCAATTGGGTCAAAGATTTTACTCAATTCGGAAAGAACAGATCTTTTGCTCAATACAGGGTTTTCTTCATATTTTACGTGACAAGACAAAGTATCGTCAAACAAGTCCCATTTCAATCCCAATACTGACACAACATCTTCATAATCTTTATCAGAAAGGTTTAGAATTGAAGTTTCATTTTTAAGTCTATTATGTTTCCAACCTCTTAGGTCAAATTTTGCAGTAGCCATTATTTCTCTAGATCCTTTGATAAATGAGTTTAATTCTTCAATTGATTCCACGCTCGCTACGCAGTTATCCACATACATGGCTTTCTTTAGCTTTGAAGCTATTTCCTGATGATGTTTTGGTACATTTTCCAAATGGTAGTTAATCGTGGCAGCGAGTAAAAAGGGGCTGGCGTTTACGCCGAATACAACCCTTCGGTGCCGATATATAGTCAGTTTTTCAGGCTGTCCTTTCTCCCACCATAGGAAGCGGAGAAAATCTCGATCCGCTGGGTTCACACCTATCTGAAGAAATGCTCTTTTTATATCCGAAATTACTCCATACTTCCCCTCTCGAAATTTCGTCAAAATTTTGGGGATCAATTCA